GATGATATAGAATCCACTGCTAACACTATTGAATCTAAGACAGATGATGTTTTGGAATCTTTAATGTGGTAGATTTCTGGTATGTTTCAAAAGTTTTCATTGATTTAGATTTTTTAAAATCCTCCTGAATAAATTATCAAAATTTTTCTCTTATTTTTTTAGAACATAATTTAAAATAATTATTGGTAAAAAAAATTACATGTACAAAAAATTTAATGAAAGAAAATGCAATATTAATTTTATATAACACATAAAAAATAAGTTTTGGAAGAGGTAAATTGATATTGAGTTATAAATATCTATCTCATTGTNAGCTTTATGAATGTCATTGCTTCAACCAACATTGATTTCAAATATTTTGCTTCTTTTTTTTTCCCTTAAATTTTGTTTTATCTTTTCTTTTGTTTTATAAGTTCGTTTTATATATATCACCTTTTTTTCCGCTATATAATTTGAATTCCATTTGCAATAAGTCTGCATCAATGTTTGTTTTTTTTCGTCTAAAGACTTATGATACTTAATTGTAAATTTAGTAGCAAAACCAAGACTGTATGAAAGCGGGCTTTTTAGATTTATGCAAAACTCATTCTATATTATCACCGTCATTGAACATCCGTCCCAATTTTGGGTTTACGACTACTAATGTTCAACTCCGTATCCTTGTAATTTTGAACCCAATCCAGAAGACGAGGAAACTCCCAGATCAGTACCCCCAAAGGTATGATTTGTTGTGGGAATCTGGATTTACGTGCATCAGTCACCATTTACTACACGGGCAGTTTTCGGCCGTCGGGGATCGAACCCACGACCTCTTGGACATGGACCCAGTGCCCTACCAACCAGGCTATCCCGGCCCCGAAACTCATTCTATGTACCTTTCTCGAAACACAAAAAGTCTTATTTTCATATAACGTGTTTGGAAAAAGTCGCGGTGGCTCAAAAGAAAAGCAGCGTTCGCCTCCCAATGAAGTGACCGAACTTAATGTAACGCAAATGCGGATTAATTCCATTAAAAAGTCCTCGAAAGCCTTAGTCTGCCGTAATGCTAATCCAGCAGTTCCGTTGCCTTCTGAGTTTGGTTTAAAGTTACAAGGCTAGAAGTTAATTCGCAAACCCAAAAATGTGTCTGTTGTTCAACTCTGTGTATTAAATAAAATTTTTTTTAAAAATCTTTTTTCTTATATATATAATAACAAATCATTACGTTCGATTTGTTGTTTATTACACAGACATTTATTCCTTAGAATTTTTAAAAAACTCGTCTGATTATTTTTTCAGTGTTGGATTTTAAATTATTTTTTAAATGTTTTATACTATCTAACAATACCCCCTTAGCGTTCTCGAATTCTTCTAATTTATAACGTGCTTTATTTAATAGTTCGCCACAATCTAACTTGAAATAAGTAACGAAATAAGCAATATCTTTTGATACACTTGAGCTATGTTTAATCAATTAAAGTCTACTTAATTGGTTAAATTAAGTTAATTTGATATTTGCTGTCATTGAATTCTCGGCATTTATTCTAGCCATTAATAAAACTAATAGAAGTTATAAAAAAAATTATTATGCTCAGCCTATGAGTTAAAAGCGGCTATAAGAAAAAAAAAGACCTAGAAATTTCAAAACCAATAAATGCTAACGACCCGTCTTGGGTTATTTCGGGTGCTTTTTCTTTAAAGCGGCGAAGGAAAAAAATTGTCTTGCATACCGCAAAGCTAGAAAATGTTTTCCGTTGTCTGTCTGCCTGGACTTAATTCTGCTGGTGCTTCCTGGAAAGTAAAATAATAATAAAAAGTTAAGTTTTTTTTTTCTTCTCTTTATAATGGTCGTAACTAAATCAATCTTACCAATCGTTATGCAGAAAGGATATCTAGTTTGAAAGGAATCTTTTTAATTTGTCGCCAAGGGACATGAGTCTTCATATGTATACGTTCTCGTCCGACGTCGGATTTGTCACTTGGGAATTTGCATATCAATTAAAGGCGCATATTATATTTCAGTGATATATAAAGCTTCTAAGCGAGCGTTTATTAAATAATTGGCTTCTAAATTGGTGATTTGAATGAATGATTCGAATAATGATTTCACTAGGTTTAAATTGCTTGTATCTTCTTATTAAATACAAACGAATTCGAATCAGTATAATAATTAAAATTGAATTTTATTTATTCTCATTAAGCCTATTCAATAGTTCTTTGAGTTGATTTGGATTAATAATTCGAATTTGTTGATTTTAAATTGAACAAAATAATCTGTATTCAAATAGTTTGCATCATTTATTACAATCCGTTGACTCGAATCAGTTGATTATAGCTTGTTGATTGTAAGAGGATTATTATAATTTATTAATTCGAATATATTACATTCTGTTGATTCCAATAAAATAGATTGATCTTATCAATTTGTTACAGACTATTGATTTGAATCAATTGAAAATTATAGATTTATCTTGCCTGTAGAGTCAGATTTCGAATTCTGTATAATTTGGGGGGAGGGGGAGAGTCTCTTCTGACGGCTCACTTCGGAATCAGAAATGCTTATGTGCAATAATTTATTTTTCACAACTTTTACGCATAATTTTATAAAAAAAAAGTAAGCTTGGTGTACACACTTTAATAAAAATAAGTTCAATACACATAATTCAATAAAAATAAATTCAATACACATAGTTTAATAAAAGATAAGCTTAATGCACATAATTGAATAAAAAATAAGCTTAATACACACAATTTCATAAAAATAAGCTTGATGTACATAGTTTAATAAAAATACACATAATTAAATAAAAAATAAGCTTAATATGTACAATTTAATAAAAGTAATTTCGATGCGCATTATTTAATTTTAAAAAAAAATCAATTATTCAGTTATTCCATGAATGCGGATTTGAATTAAAAAAATTTGAAACAGATACGATTTGAAGGAAATTAAAATAACGAAATAAGAATTTCAATTTGAGCAGAGTAATCAAAATTCATGAAAGTCAGTCACCCAAAAAGAGAATAAATCCGGACTGTCTTTTTATCTATAAGTTTAGAAACATTGGCCAATTTAGACGCTGCCCTTTGTCATCTTAATTTTGGAAAATCACAAATGGAGAAAATAAGGACACGGTTCGCTTCCGAATCGCCACAAACCAGGATTCACTGACCCAACAGAAATTAGTTTAAAGGACAGCTCTTTTAAATTTGTTCCATTATTGCTACATTTCAGCTGTGAGAAAATAGAGTAATCTTCTAATGTCTATTACGCCTTCGTAAATATAGGCAGGATTGCTCACCGCTGATTTAATATGGAAAATCACAGTAAAATCATCCAGAAATCATTTTTAATTTTCATATTTTATAAGCGTGCACTTTTGCTCTGCAATATAAGAATTTATTAACAGCAAACATCAATATTTCACAATATTTTACGATCTAGCTTACGTTATTTTATTTTTCTCAATATTTTCTTTGCCCAAATGGAACTTATCAATATTCATGATAATACTGCATTGGATAACAGATAAAAATTATTTTTCGCTGTTCATAATTATTATCGTACATTTGATATTTAGCATAAGAGGTATTCTTAATATAGCTTGAGAATACTTTTTTTTTTTTCTTCTTTTGTTCAAATATCGTTATCGTGATATTTAGAAGATACCATTATTTTACGATAAATCGTCAGTATTTAAGCATTATATATAGTTAAGAAAAGTTTTTGAAGTATATGTTTAAATTCGTATCAGTTTTAGTTTTATGGTTTTGTAAAATTGGTATGACAGCTCCCCAGTCCGTTCTGAACGTAACATAATTAATATTTTAGTAAAAAAAAAAAAAGTTTTCTTTTAAAAAGAATCTAGAAATCGGGAAGGGGTGAAAATAATCCCATAATCTATGGATTCATAGAATATTTTTGTCAATAACTACAAGTTAATAATAATTATATCTAATAATTATAAATTTTGTCAATAATTATATATTTTGTCAATAATTTGTGTGATGATTAAAATCAGTTCAGATCTAACACAATTAACATTATTGAATAGGAAGATAAAACATTAAATAAATCTTACGCGATATTCAAAGTCTTGAATAAATCTTAAAATAAATGTTAATAATAGTGTTAAAATAGTGTTTATTTTATGGTTTTTCATAATGTTTTGTTGCTTCAAACTGCAGTAATTGATAAAACTATCTAAAAATGACATAATGAAGCTATTCTCAGGTAGAATAAAATGAGGCAAAAAAAAAATATTTAAAAAAAAAAGAATAAAAATTAATCATAATGTACCGGAATGTTATGATATTCATTTATTTTAATCCTTTTCGTTTATTGTTATACCTGAAATGAAATTAACTTTAAAATATATGAAAAATTCAACATCTCAGATTCCAACATTCTAAGAAACTGGTACCATGCAAAAGAAAACCACACGTCACACCGTTGGCACTCTTTTAGAACGATTTCATTGTCCATAATCTTAATTTATATAAGAACAATGTCCACTCTTCAGTCACCAACAGTCCTGCCACGCGTGATATTGGTTCAATAATGGAGAAAGTGCGCCACGCTTGACTAAGCCAATACTTCGCGCCAGGATCACGCGTGGCAAGAGCGTCAGCAGAAGTCAGTTGATAGAAAATGGCTGACCACGGTGATTGTTCTTATTGTTCTGCTTCCTCAAAGGTCGGAAGAGCTGATAGCCATCGAGATGTTGTTCGAAACAATGGGATGGATCGGCAATTTTCCAAATTTCGCGATGAACTTTATGGATTACTGGACCTTTAAAATTCTAATGTACTTCCAGAATTAGGTATTTTGAGTTATTAAATAGAAGAGTTCGGAAACTCGAAAAGTTCGGTCTTGATTCTTATTGGGAGTTCGTCTAACTTCGGAAGTTCTATCAGGTTCGCTGCAAACTTGCTCCTCCTTTAATTTAATCAATGTGATTTATTTGTTTTTTGAAGATGTGTATTGTTTTGTTAATTTTAGTTTCTTTTGCTTATTTTAGATGAGCGGGAAAAGAACCCGTAGCTTTCGAATCGCTGTTCAACACAGAGATAGAGAAGAGTTGCTGCGGGACAGGGAAAGAGCCCTGTTCCACAGTATGGTAGCCAAGATAGCTCATCATTTTCTGGCTGATGACAGAGACAGGAAATACTATGCAGACAGATATACTTGCTGTCCACCACCTCTATTCGTTCTTCTGGTTACTTTGGTTGAGGTAAGTTCAGTATTCATTCAATCTTTTTGCAATCAAGTATTGTCTATACTTAATATATTAAGTATTGTCAGTTAAGTAAGATAACGCCTAAAATATCACGTTATCAAATAATAACGTTTGGTTTTGTACAGTAAAGATTTAATTTTCTCAAATACGTTAAGAGTATCAAAAAAAAATTTTCTTTTTGAGAAAAATCAATCCATTAACTATTACTACTACAAGCAAAGATTTCACTATTTGAAACACCTAAAAAAAAAAATAATAATAATATTTCCTTCAAATGCTTGGCTTTTTCTTGTCAAGTCTGGCACTTCAAGTTCGAGTTACAAAATTGAATCGATAATTTGTAGCTACTCAAGAAAAAATCAATAGGAAAATTTAGACAAATTATACAATCAAAACCTTTATTTGCATTGTTAGTAGATGAACAAAGACTTATTCACCGAAGTGCACTAATAAATAGACAAGTCATTGTAAAATGTTCGTTTTTATTACAATACACAATAGCTTTTTTATTACAATTCTCAAGAAATTGAAATTAACAGTGATGGGATGCGATAGTTGGGCTGATCTTCCTCTGGAGCGTGTCTGATTCCAATAAAGAACATGTCGGATTCATCTTGATGATCTTTCCGGGGCGGCAAGACAAAATTCAGCGTCCTGTAAATCCTGACGTGAGTGGCACGTTCTGTACGCGTGCCCGTAATAAGTGGCGTGCAGTGGCGCGAGTCTCGTTCATTAGCACTAATTCCTTTTGAGAAAATCCATGTCTTGAGGAGGTCCGTCTTTTGTGTGGGGGTTACCGAGCGGAAAAGGGTGTCGGCCATAATGTCACAAATGGAAAGATTCTGAAGGCGAAGGTCAACTGAGTTGTAGAGTCATTCCATGGCGACAACTTGACTCTTCCTTAATTTATTTACTTTTTTTTATCGATTTACATCGTAAAAAAAAAACCCTGAAAATTAACCTAAAACTTTGTAAATACGTGTCATTGACTCTGTGGTTGAATTACGAAGGTAGTTAAGTTTTACAGAATTACTCCATTACCATATCTCATAATTGACTAAGTACAGTCAAATTAGTTGTGTTTTATGTCGTATAAAAGGCTTTTGTTCTTTTTAACTATAAGCAATGTTTCATATGACTGTAGGAAAAATAACTCAATACCGCGACTGAAACTCTTCATGGCTACGCTGGAATAAATGGAGACGCTGTCATTAAAGAATGATTCATTAAAAACATAATTGCAGACTAACAATTTTAAAATTCACTGAAGTTCTGAGTTCGATCCCTACCGGCCGAAGACTCTCCGTGTTGTAATTGGTGACTGATGCACGTTAAATCTGTCGAGTTACAAAGTCCTTCATGTTCCCATAACAAATCATACCTCTGGCGTTACTGATCTAGGAGCTTCCTCGTTTTCTGGATTGGTTCAAAATTACAAGGCTACGGAGTTGAACATTGGTAGTCGTAAACCCAAAATTGGGTTGGCTGTTCAACGACGGTTGTAAATTAAAATAAAATCTATCATATATGATGTACGTTTTATCTTAACTTCGTTGGCTTGTGAAAAAAACAATTTGTTGCAAATTTTAAAGAAAAAAATATGCTTCAGAAAAAAAAGAAAAAAACTAGTCCACATTGAATTCGCTGTATTGTGCTGTTTAACTTTAAACAAAGCACAGAGATTGAGTTTCCCAGAAACATTTGAAACTCGTATAATTTTTTTACACCATTTCGCTGACATTTCCCGCCCACGTGACATAATTAACACTGTATTAGCCTTCACCAGAATGATCACTTTTTATCTGAGGTTCGTGCCCAACGGTATATTTACACCGCGACCACCCGCGTGTGTTTTGAATAGTCTAAAAAACTATTGTACCGTGTTGTTTCTGTGGCGACTTCAATTAAGGCGTGTATCCGCAACAAATCGAAATTACGAGTATTGTGGCACGCCTGGCTTCAAGCAACGCGAGGCACTCAACAAAAATTGATTTGCCACGACCAAAATGCAAATAGAATCAGAAAAGATTTATTTATTTTTGGGTATGATCTTAGTATTTAAATTTTATAACTGTACGAATGTGTAGTAAATATTAGAATTTTAAAAAAAAGCACTTGAAGAAAATTAGAAGCAAGGTTAAACACTTTCTTCCATGGCCATAAATTTCGCTTAAACATCGGCTATGACTTGCCTTTTAAAGCTAGAAAATAAAGTGCTTTCAAAATATCGTTTAACATATTCTTCATGACCGATGTGTTACTTTAGTGAGTTTCATAATATTCACTAAAATAACGCATATGTTTTTGAAGTTTGAAAATGTAAGTGCTTGACACGTTTCGTGAGGTATTGGCTTGTCAAACTCTACAAAATCGGCTGTAAGAAGTTATGAGACAATCACCATAAACATTAGAAAAATAAATACAATATAATAATAGAAAAAGTTTATTTTTACTAAATCTTATAGTAAATTTTAAGTTGCAAATCGCGTCGCGAGAATTTTTTTTTATCTCTAACCTTTATTTGTAACTTCAACAAGGTCTAATGCAAAATAGTTCAATTGTCAGTTCAGTTAAAGTTTGTTCAGCCAGTGTATATTCAATTAAAAGCTTTACAAGTTCAGATTGAACAAAACGTTCGAAAATTTTGTTTCATTCTTTTGTTTGTTCCAAACCACTGTTTTTTGGTGAAATATCTCATTCTGTAAGTGTCATCTCTTCATTCCTACTACACACGCTATATACAATTTATTTATTAGATTGTCAGGAAAATTTCGACTTTTAAACTCNTTTTTTTTTTTAAATGTGTTCAAGGTTATCACCTCGGTAATACATTTTTAAATTCATAAGCGATGTATCCTATAGAAGTGAGCACTTTTGTGCCTTGTTTATGCGGACATTTAAACGCAAATTTATTTTGTAAAAATCAGGCAAATCTGTTTTCTCTGCTTTTTAGTATTACATAATCAAGGATAATGTAGTGTAAATACATACCTATAAAGACTACGTCATACATGGTGGGGTTAGATTAAATAGTACCAAGAAATAAAGATCCAAACAACAGAGGCGCGAAATATTTTCCCAACAAAATAACTTTCGTGCGTCCCAGCTACCATTGAAAATTTTAAAGACTTAACTTAGTTAAAAGCATTTTAGCGATTAAAACGATAGGACTTAAATATATTTTTTTAAATTATTAGCATCAATGCTAAATTGGAATCTCAGCCAAATTTTTACGTCGCCTAGTTTACGGATGACAAAATATGCAGGTATTGAATCAGAACAGTTGACTAACCTTCCAAAGAGACCGCGACTATCCAGAAATAGTTAAAAGACGTCCTAGAAAGGTCTATGAGACGTCTAAGAGGACGACGTCAAAGGAGGAGGGGCCCTTGAACTTGGCCGATGCCTTGGCTGATATCCCGTTAAGAAATTTTAAAAAGGCTCGGAGAATTTTCTCCTGATTTACATTTGGCAACATTGTAATACAATCGACATTATCTAAGAGCTGCTTAGATGAGGAGATGAGTTAAGTTGTTGAGGCAAGTTGCCACATTTCGCTTCTCGTTGGTCTCTAACCAGTGAAATCATAATTCTATCTAATCAGATTTTTTAATTCGATTCTAAAATACTGATAAAAAATTAAATTTAGTGCAATTAAATTTCTGTTAATTAAAAATAAAACACAATTTGTGTGTTAAAAATGTGTTAGTTGTCATGTATATTACTTATTTTCTACAATTTAATCTGGTAACATTTTAAACGTTAATCGATATTTATTGTTTAGTCGTGAAGAATTTAGTGAAAGAACATATTGAGAGACATTTGAAAAACAATAATCTGCTGTTTTATGTCATATTATGATCGGTTTCATAATATTTGCAAGAATCATAATGTAAAGCACCCTTTATTTGTCAAAATTTGAAAAAGTTTTAATGCACTTCCTATAGAAAAAGTTAAGCTTATTTTATTTTAGAAATATATTCTTTTATACAAGAAAGTTTTCCATTCAACAAATAAAATGATTTACGACAGAAAAATATTTATATTAAGCAATTTCTTATAAATAATGTGATTTTTCTTTACTTAAAATAAAAACGTAACATAGAAAAAATAACACAAAAAAGTTGAAATTTTAATCACACCATATAGTATGGTTTAATAAATTTTATTAAGGAAAAAATAGGTGCAGTAATAATTACATTAATTATTTTTAAGTTAATAACTAAACTAAGCATACTAAATAATTGAGCAAAAAGTTAATATTTAATTAAATTAATGTAACACTATTAACATTAAAATTTCAATATTAAAATTAAATTAACATACTATAACAATTTTAAAATTAATTAATAATATTGAAATTAATTAATAATTATTTAAATTTACAAATATAAAATTAAATTAATTAATATTAAAATTACACCATACCTATTTATTTAAAGTTAAAATTACATTAGTTAGCATAATACTTTGTCATTAATACTGCATAATTAAATACTAATCAATTTTTAATTTGCATTAATTAAGATATGTTTTTGAAGTATCGATAATAAAGTATTTCGTACGATATAAGAATACTGCATACTTTTGAGACCTTAAACTTCAAAGTGATGAGTGAAAAAGGGGATGTGCGTCGGATTCTATTCGAAGACAACCTTGGCCCGACACTGCGTTTTTTTACCTCATTGCGGGATAGAAAAATAATGACAAAAAAGAATCATTCCTCGACGTCTGTTGTCGCCGACTTTTATTGAAAGGAGGCTGTCTTCTGTAAAATAATATTAATAATAAAAATATTAAAAATAAAATACTAAAAAATAAAATAATACTAAAAAATAATAATTCTAAAAAATAAAATTATAAGATAAATTAATAATAATGAAAAAATAATCATAATTTTAAATATCCATTTCATCGTACACGATTATTTAATTATTAATTCTATTTTACATATTTCTCATTCGGATATTTATGTTCACAAATTTTAAAAATTGAATAAAAACCATTTAAATTTAAACATGTCTTTCAACCAGTGATGTTATAACAGTTTTTTTTCATTGAAAAGTGATTTGATTAAAACTGATTGTGAGGAAATGATAAGACTAAATTTAAAAATATATATTTTTAAATCTCGATACTAAAAAAAAAAAAAGAGTTGCTTGTAAATTCTTCTTCCCTCAACTGATAAGCTGTATAAAATTTTTCGTTTAAGTCTAACATTTTATTTGTAATTAAATAAAAACCTGCCTATTCTTGGAGATGTTAACAATTCCTGGATATTGTTAAACAAATTAGAGCAGGAAACACGTTCTGTTGAATTCCAAATAATCGACTATCTTCTTGTATTAATTGACTTAGACGCAATTTTCTCGTTAAAAATAATAGTAATAATTGCTCACTTGTTTATGAAAACAATTTTTTTTAAATAAAATTATACGATTTGCGTTGATAAAAAAGAAGTAGAAATAGGAAAAACTGCTGCGGTTTGAGTTGAAAAAGTAGTAACGATCATACTGTTTGACTGTCAAGAGATGAACTCTCGATCTGACAGAAAACAAACTCTAATCTCGTGGTGGCTTGACAGTAGTAACTGTATAAACTAAAATAATCCTATTTCATATCGAAATCAAATAGTGGTTTTTAAATAGCTTTTAAATTATAAACTCCTAAAATAAATTTTGGGTTCTAATAAATTCTTTTTCTATTTTAGTTGGGTTTTTTCACCTATTACACAGTGTCTACGGGCATAGTGACAACTACCGGTCCAGTGCCGATAGACAGTCCATTTATTTATCGGCCCGATAAACGGGAACAAGTTTGGAGGTTTTTCTTCTACATGCTCCTTCACGCAGGGTAAGTACAAGTCAGCCTAATTAATTTGACAGTACATAAAAAATCTCTTCTTTTTTTTTTAATTAATAGTTTTAAAATAAGGTTGAAGATAACATACTTAAAAGTGTTGGTTGGCAATCGAAATTACTCTACATCTAAGAAACACTAGGCTGCATTTGCATTTTAAATTAAATTTTTAAAAAAAACTAGTACTTTAAGTAAAATTTAATTTCATAAATGATTTACTGGCTGAATAAGAAATTTAAAAAAATATGGCGTCATAATTAATTTTTTGAAAACTTTCGATTTTATCACCTAAAAAGACATTTAATTTTTTTTCAAGTGCAGAAGGCCTAGTCCAATTATCTAACAAATATTGCCAATTATAAAACAGTCGTTTTAAATACATGAAGATTGGACATGAAGATTTGTTACACAGGTAATCAAAGCGGGTTTACAAGTAGAAAAAATACTGAATAAAGTCCCCATAGTTCGAGAAGATAGTTTTTTTGCGTAAATATTTTAATTACATTAACATGAAAATAGTAGGAAAATTATAAGTCTTATTAAAATTCAACGACAATCTTAGCTAGAGATTAATTTATTTTTTCTTCTCTTACAGATGGATTCATTTATTGTTTAATCTGCTGGTTCAGGTGTGCGTGGGACTTCCGTTGGAGATGGTACACGGGTCCCTAAGAATAGGTACAGTGTACATGGCTGGTGTACTTGCTGGTAAGTATTGTTTTTGCCCCTTCATTTTGTTCATTTTTAATATACAGTAAATCTTATTCGAAAGCTACAAATACGAAATATTTTTTTATATTGTTTTAAATGAAAATTATGAATTCCCTGTGTTAGTTAAAATGGCATAATTTGGGCATAAATTAATATATAATGCTAAAAAAAAAAAAAAATACAAGCATGCCCCGTCTTGTTAAGACACGTTTCTTATAAATATAAAAGGAAAATTTTGGTGCTGCCATCTGTAGTCAAAGCAATTTACTAAATTTCTTTTCACTGGAACAGTTATTATAAAAGTTCTAATTAAATTAACCTTTAGATGCAGAATTTTTATTAAACATATTTTTCATTAATTTAGGTCAAAATAAATGAAAAATATTATTATCATTTTAACAATTTATGGTTATGCAATACAGCATGAAACACTTTTTTTTAGGTAAAATGTTCCAAAAGAGGGCTCACTTCCAAACTAGTTTTTCATATTTGCACTTATTTAGATATAATCAAAACAGTTATTCATTATTGAAATTTCTTTCATTTACAAAATCAATTACTGATATATTTTTGAATATGAATGAAAAAAAAAATTTCTAATTACTTTTTTTATTTTTTATTTTAGTACAAATTATAACAATTTTAAANAAAAAAAAAAAAAAAAAAAAAAAAAAAAAAAAAAAAAAAAAAAAAAAAAAAAAAAAAAAAAAAAATACAAGCATGCCCCGTCTTGTTAAGACACGTTTCTTATAAATATAAAAGGAAAATTTTGGTGCTGCCATCTGTAGTCAAAGCAATTTACTAAATTTCTTTTCACTGGAACAGTTATTATAAAAGTTCTAATTAAATTAACCTTTAGATGCAGAATTTTTATTAAACATATTTTTCATTAATTTAGGTCAAAATAAATGAAAAATATTATTATCATTTTAACAATTTATGGATATGCAATACAGCATGGAAGACTTTTTTTTTTAGGTAAAATGATTCAAAAGAGGGCCCACTTCCAAACTAGAGTTTTTCATATTTGCACTTATTTAGATCCAATAGAAACAGTTATTCATTATTGAAATTTCTTTCATCTATGAAATCAATTACTGATATATTTTTAAATATGAATGAAAAAAAAAATTTCTAATTACTTTTTTTTTTCATTTTAGTACAAATATAGTACTAAAAAAAAAAAAAAAAAAAAAAAAAACTTTTAGATTATCATACTTGTTTATAATTAAAAAAAAATATATTATTTTTGCTTGTTCAGAGCATCAAAAAAATATATAATACCATCTAGAACAAAAGGTTAAATGTTATTTTTAACAACCATCAAATTAAATAAAATGAAAGATTTTAAAAAACATAATTTTAAATAAATCCTAATATTTTTCTAGGTTCTTTGGGAACTTCAGTTTTTGATACAGATGTTTATCTAGTCGGAGCTTCTGGGGGTGTATATGCTCTTTTAGCTGCTCATCTCGCAAACGTCTTACTGGTGAGTTATCACTCCTGCTCTTTTATCTTCATTTTATCATGAATTATATTATTAACGATAACCATTTGCTATAATAAATGATTGATTTTATTTTTTTATCTTTTAATAGAATTATAACCAAATGGAGTTTGGCTTACTAAGGTTGGGATGCATTTTATTTATTGGTGAGTATTGGGTTTTGGATATTTAAACTTTTTACTAGGGTTGCTTTTGTTATTCTTCACGCATGCAATTTTTTAATCAGTTTTCTGAAAAAGAAATTTACTATGTAAATATTTTTTATAAGAAAAATTAAGAAATATATTTATTATGAAAATGTATTTTATAATGACTGCCATAATATATTCTTGAAGAATCTTTTTTTAAAAAAAAGTCACAAATTAATATTTAAAGAAAGAGAAAAAAAAAAGATTTTACACTTTTATCATTAATGAAGTCTATAAGAGCAAAGGCGGGTTTTAAATAATCAAAAATTAGTTAACTTGTCTATTGAAACTGAGATGCATTTACTTTCAACCACTGTCACTTTGATTTTTTGTCGAATACGTATTTGCTTACTTTTTATATTTTCGAGGTTTGATTTTCCAATGAGGTTGTAAAATTTAACCAGAATTATATTCAAAGGCAGAAGTAATTTTTTAAGTTTGCAAGAGCCTAAACACACCATCGTTAGATTTTCATACTTTAACATACATGTTTAATTTTTTCACATGGACTGGGGATCAAAATCATTTTAAATATAACTTATAAAACCAAGAATTCAATAGAAAGCATGAACTTAACTACTACTTTAAGAAAAAAAATGCAAAATGCATAAAAGTTGGCACAAACCAGTTTTAAATTAGTGTAATCCCGAATTTACTCTTATTAACCTTCATAATGATCGACCATTAAAAGAGCTTTCGTATAGTTAATCAAGTAATAGTTATTTTAAGGAAAGGATTTGAAAAACTTGAGCCCAGCTTTGGGTGCATCTATTGAATTTTATAATAAGGAAACTCTGACAATTCTATAAGCATTATAAAATGTTTCATTTTATGATTTATAATCTAAAAATTATTCTAAAGCAAATTTTTTAATTTAAACATAAACATTATATAATCCGATAAATAATAATAAATTCTATAAATGTATGAATTTGCAACTTAATTAAGCATTAAAATAATATTCTAATAGAAATTTTTAAAATTGAAAAGAAATCTATGTTTAAAATTTACAATAAATGAAACTTTAATAAATATTCTGATGCAATTTTTTTACATTTTAATATTAATTCCCACATCTTTAGACTAATTTGCATCTAATAAAAAATTATATGCCTGTATTTTGCAGTACTGAATTTTAATTTTTCTTTCTACAGCTAGTGCAGATGTTGGTTTGGCAATATACAATAGGTATGCAGTTGAACAACAAGGACCGCCGGTTTCCTATGTGGCACACCTAACAGGAGCTTTAGCAGGGCTCACAATAGGGTTGCTAGTTTTAAAAAACTTTGAACAAAAACTTCATGAACAAGTTCTGTGGTGGGTGGCACTAGGTGTTTATGCAGCATGTACTCTTTTCGCCGTCCTCTTCAATATTTTTAACTATTGACTCTCCTCACTGAAGATTGTCTTCTGCATCAATAAACGAACTGTGGGAATTGAACCCACTGACCTCAGGGAAGCTACACGCAACTGTTCAATATGCAGCCACGATTGATTGCACTGCAATGTAACGGTGAAGTTCAAAAAAAGGTGTTCTGAACTTTGTTCACAAGTGTAAATAATCAAAATCAGTTTTGAACAAAACTGTTTCCAAAGATAAACTGTTAAGAATGAAAGTAATGTATAGGTTTATATTGTATTTCGATACATCCTAAACACTAATGTCACAACCAATGTGGTAATCTCAATTTTGTACTTTCGTATTGTGAATTAATTAGTCATTTGAAATCAAACTATTCATGAAGTTAGAATCTTTTTTTATGAGACATTTCATGCTTCATTTTATGGGTATTCGTGTTATTCAAATTTTGCACAAAAGTTTATGGAATGTTTTAAAAAATATTTCTTTGTTTAGAAATAATGTGCTTTATGAAGGTTATAAAATTTATTTAAAAATTTTATTGATTTAGATCATTTCAAAGGTTAAAACTTTTATGCAATAACTTATGTTCAAAGTATTTAATTTTACAAACCCTACTTATTTTATTGTCACATGAAATTAGTACATTCAGTATTTCTAAATATACTAACACTGCCAATGAATTATCTAGCAAAAATACTAGCATGGGTATTTTATATATCTGTATAACATTTATATGAATGTTTAAAAAGCATAATTGCACTTTTCTTTACAAAATTTTTATTTTAAAATTGTATATTTATTTTCAAAATATTCACTTTAATGCATTAAAATTTAAGTTTAAACACATAATTAAGATAGCTCTTATAAAAAATAAAATTATACAAACATTTAGACAACATGGCTTAGTTGTCATTCGGTTTAAAAGTCAGTTTGGGCCACTCTTTTTAAAGTAAAATTTTTTTCTAATATTTTTTTATATTTATCTTTTAACTTTGTTTTTCGCCTTAAATGTTTTTCATTTGAATGATTAAAAATTTTTTTTAATTATATAAATGATTTAAAAAAAGTAAACATGAGGTCTTGAGTTTATCTCAATGAAGTAATATTTTTTCTTTTTCTTCATTTATGGAAATTTTTCAGAAATGCTATGTAGATTTAAGAAATACCTTTTTTAATATCAATGAAATTCATGTGTTATCTTTTTATATTTTGTTCAGTTAATCTTGAGATTTCAACTTTTGAACTACCTCTTTAATTTTTTTATTGAGTACACTTTTATACATATTTTATTTTAATACTTAATTTATATTTTTAAAAATTCCTACTATGCATTTTAAATCCTGTTTTGTTTGAATATGTCTTACGGCAAAACATGTACATACTTTCATTTTTATGTATTGCATATATGCATACAAAACATGTGATGAATATGATTTATTCAAATCATTCTTTCTAAGTCAAATCTAGATGAAAACTTATTTAAGTGTTGTGAATATGACAAAAATGTATGTATGATAAATATTGTGTATATGAATTTTGAATGTAATTGAATGTATTGCAATAACTATACTTACAGAACTTGTATTGTGATTTTAATGAACAATTGACAATATTTTAATGTATGATCAAAGAAAAACTACTGGAATATTTTGATAATTCTTTCATAATAGTGATATTGAAAAAGAAAATTATAGCAAATTTTAATGATTTTCAGTGAAGCTGTTGATAGAAAATTAAGATTAGATAAGTAAGCATTTAAAAATTAGTACTTTTATAAAAAAGTTTTAAAACTGTATCATATGTTAAATCTAGTGAAAATGCAAACGTAATTAATTTTATTATACGACAATTCTAGCAAAAAATTTTCAGCATTGACATGATTTTTAAATTGTAGAGCTTCCTCAAATTTACAAATATCTTAAAGAATCTCAATTACTTAAATTATTGAAATTAAGTTTATTCTATTTATATTTTTATCAGTAGAATATGTAAAATTAAGCTTTAAATTCCATTCATAATACATGAAATGCATGCATTTTTTCATAAATATCAATCAAAAATTCCAAATATTGTTGTCTGACAAAGTTTTTCAAAATCTTATTTTTACTGTTTATGCAATGCATTCCTATAGATGTGTTTTTATTGATGTAGAATGTCTTTACATGAATATGTTTGTGGAAAAAATGTGAAAGCGACTAGCAGTGTTTACAAAGTTTATACATTTATGTTATTGTGTAAGAGTGTTTAAATTTTTAATTAAATTTAAGTTCTGATTATTTATGTGTGTATTTATTTGGATAATGGTTCACACTTAAATCTCCCCTAAAATTTATTCTAACAAACATATAGACATATCAAGAACTTTTTAGTAAAATAAATTCTAAAAACATTTTTGAAAAAAAAAAAACTATATAGCAATAGATTTAAATTTTAGAGATCTTCCTTAATGAAGGTACTAAGTAACAGTCTTTAAATATTTTTGGAATGAAAGAAGGTTCAAAGCACATTTGGCAAAAAACATTTGATAAGTAACCTTAAAAACTTGCATTTAAAATTGTGCAAATGCAATGACTATCTGGAGAAAACTATGAATCTAACACTTATTTTGAATATATATATATATTCAAAATGAGTGTTAGATTTCTCCAATGAGAAAATTATGGACAAGACATGAAAGCAAGGTACTTGTTGTTAAATTAACATGTTATTTTACTAACTGATTTATTATTAATTGAGTAATTTTGATCTAATTTACTAATATGTCAAAATCTCCATCCACTCACCTCTTTAAATATTCTAATAATCAGAAATTTTAGTAGGGAATATTAAATAATAAAAGCGTTTTTTAACGTAAACATATTTAAATTTTTGACAGCATACTGTTTTTTTAAACCAAACACTTTAACAGAATTGAAAAAAAAAATTTACAAATAATTTTTTGGGAGAAAATTATTATAGACACAATAAAACAATCATTGAGTTGCTGTTTTGTATCCATTTATACTTGACACTTGTCCATCACTTCAAAACTTGTTTGGCTTAATCTAATAATGTAAAGCCACCATAAAAGGAAACAAGTAGTTTAAAAAATGGCATTATTTTAGCTTTATCTTTTACGTCAATAAAACTCTTTCAGTTTTGCACATGGCTTCAGATTGTTAATCAATACTGATTTCTGATTATTTCTTTTCTACCGGTCTATACAAAGAACGGGTATTCATTTAGTTTAAAATAAAATTGACAATACCATTTTCTTGCTCCGATTTCCCTCTCAAACAATAAAAAATTTCAAAAACAAAAACATAACTTACTGTGAGAAACCAAAGAACAACAGCATACATCCTCTTCGTACAAGGAAGAGTTAGCTTTTCTAAATTTTTAAATAAATCTTTCAAAAAACAACAAAAACAAACGTCTTGTGGCACCATCTATATGCACAGTTAGAACAAAAATCAAAGTGGAATTCGAATTAAAAATTTCAAGATGAAAAAACACTTTAGTTTATTCTTAAGACCTTATTAAAACATTATTTGGAAGCGAATTAAGTTTACAAAAATCAGATTAAGCAGAAATAACACTTAAGATAAATCTTTTTACAAAAATCAATAAAAATATATATATAATTGGACAATTTGGGACACTATAGCAACAAACCACAATTTTTTTCAGAATTCAAAAATTTTCAAGCTGTTTCTTAGCATTGCTTCCAGATAAGTACCTTACAAGTTCCGGAAGTTCGACTATATATAATTAACAGAAGCATTGGGTACTTATAAATCAGAACAATTTGAAAATGCACCTTATATTTATACAGCCTAAAATTCTTCATTTTCAATAGATAACCCTTGAATTTTAGTAAAAATTCAAGGATTTTGATTATAAGACATAAGTATAAAGATGTATTTGACTGCAACCAGTCAAGTAAACCAGACAAATTTGAGAATGACATAATCACATCAAACATAAAGTAAAAAAAATAATAATTGCAATAAATACACAATGATAATTTATTACTTCAAAAAATGTACAAATCCATTTAATAATAAATAATTTAAAACAAAGGTCACGAACTTTCTGTACGCTCATCTTGTATAAAATCTTGAAGGCATTTAATGACCTCTAGAATATCCTCTTCATTTCCAACATGAGCTTCTCTTTTAACATGATAAAGCAATATTTCATCATATCCAGATGCTTTTAGAAATAGATAAGCGCTGCAAATATCAGAGGTATTCATACATTAATTATGATATATATATATATAATTATAAAATAAAATAAATTAATAAATTACTATTTAGAAAGGATGGTATGGTGGGTAAAGAAATTATTCATTATTTTCAAAATTTAGAGATGTAATTTTACAGGATGATATTATTACAGTTTTTAAAAACATTCTAACGCACTTGTTACATAAAATTTGTTGGGGCTAAGAAAAAATATAATACATATAATAACATTAAGGTTATAGTTAAAATTAAGGGAAGGTAAAAGCATTTTTCTACTAGGTTACTATTGAAAAAACAATTTATTATTAAGTGATTTTATACCATTGCTTAAGCTTGATTTTTACAGTGAAAAGACCGACAAAGTTTTAGGTAACTAAAAAATTTTAATTCTTTTTCTCTAAGTGCTAAAAACACATAAGTTGTTAGCACTACGTTTTTAATACTAATTATTGTAATATTTATAAATAAATTTAATTGCGAAGTTTTCTATTTGTGTTTTAACTATACACTTAAAATAAAATTTTCTCCTAATGAAGCTAAGTAAAAAACATATAGCCTTTAATTTAAAAACCATTTTAAGAAGAAATTATATAATGAATTTCTTACAAATTCTTAATAAAATCTGTAAATTACCAGCAGTTGAAATAATCAAAAGTGTTTAAAATGTTATATCTAATTTCTTCAATAATGTTTTTTTTTTTTTTAAGAAAAGGTATGAAGTCTGGCAAACAACGATTTTCATACAAGCATTTATTCCAAAAATCTTCAAACAAGAGTCAGAGCTTATTCATTTTAATTCTAAAAACATATCCCCTTCAGTACTACATTAGTGTACTATAATCTTAATTAAATCACGAAATAAATAAATAAATAAAAAAGTATGTAAGAAATACAAACTTGAATAAGGCGTAGTAATCATTTACAGCTTTTTGAAGAAGTCTTTTTAAATTATTCAGATCTTGAATTGTCTGCAAGAAATTAAGATCTCAATGTTATTCCTTAAACCCTAGAATACCAGGACATATTAATTTCATGTACTTTAAGATAAAGCAGAAAATATATTATTTGATAAATGAATATCGTAGGTAAAACTTTTTGCATAATTAATAATTTATTTTTGTATTTAACTTTTATTTATTATGGGAAAACTTAAATAAGTGTATAAAAATTACTATACAATCTAATGTAGATAATTTGAAATTATTTCATTATTGGAAATATCAGAGATTCAATCAACTTTTCAAATCCCCAAAATTTTATGAGAATCAGGGGGTCGATGTATATACCCACAATAAAGTGAGACATTTGATGTTCGTAAAATATTGATGTACTATAAACGATCAGATAGACATAAATAAATCTATATCAATTTACCCTATTATTTTTAATATGTTATCTACAATTAATTTTTCTTTTTCTTTAAACATTTTTTGTAAATATAAAGCTGTTTTGAGAATTGCTTAAAATTACATTCAGAAAAAAAAAGTCAAGATAATTTATTCAATAGTATTTTAAAATACATAACACAATGAAAACTTTTAAACATAGCAAAAAGCTACAAATTTAAGGGTTCCAGATCATCATCTCTGTCGGATATGCATCTTTATTTTATCATTTTTATTTAAGTGGCCTTAAAGTTGCACAATGGGCTATTGGCGACGGTCTGGGAAACATCCATGAGAATGATCTGGAGATAACACACATGCATCACATCCTGTTTTATAGTGAGGACACGTTCACACTCCAACCATCCATCCCCGGAGATCATAATTTTGACTTGAACCAGAGAATGATCCATCTCCAATCCAGTATCCCCGAACATATTGATTTGTTAAGGAAACTTGAAGGACTCAGTGATCTGTGCAGATTTAATGTGAACCAGTCGCCATTTTGCATACAGGAAGTTTTCAGCCGGCGAGGATTGAACTCACGACCTCTTGGACATGGGCCCAACAACCCATATAATCGAGTCTGATGAAAGTATAGGCCAGTAACATTTTTGATGATGTCAGAAAATTCATTTATTGCTGTCCAAAAAGCATCATATGAAGCACAACACAAAAGTCACGGTGGTAAAGTGGTGATCGGGAGCAGGAAGTGGCAATCTCTAGAACGCACTGCTCAAGCATTCTGTAGTTGAATGCGACGCTTGAAAAAAAACATATCTCCGGAAAATCATTTTGGTTCAGGATTCAGAGAAAAAAAACAAAGCTACCCAGGAAGCATAGCTGGATCATTTCGATGAGACACCATCTACAAAACGTCCCACAAAGCCATTCAGAAATTGTAACAATGGCATCCCTCAGCATAATGGCAGGAGTGATGTTGAGAAATCATTTTAGTAAAAAATAAAATAACGGTGAGATATGATATGGTCTGCATCATTTCTTCCAAGCACCAAAGAGGGGGGAACACGGAGCCAAAACTAATACAAGAACCAAATGCCACAAATTGAGAAAAGTGAAGTCTTTTTATAGAAAAATGATAAAGATGAGTAGCAGTTAGTAAAAATTAGAAGAGACGGTTAGGACAGGAGTAAAAAGGTAAAGCAAAAGTTAAAGTGTTTAAAAATTTAAGGTAGTTACGGTTATGAAATTTAAAAAAAGAGAAACAACGGATACCGCGTGGAAACTACAGAGAAAGCCGACCACCTAAGATTCTAGGAATTAAAGGGGAGAGAACATTCCAAAACACTTCAAAAGGGAAAGTGTAAAAATACAAAATTGATTGCAGGGACTATATATATTTCCAATCTAAAAATTATTGAGTGACACAATGCCACAATAATACATGTTAAAATTCAATTGATTTGATTTGAAATATGATAAAAAATGAGCAAATTCTTAAATAATAACAAATAGGAACGTTCTATGACGTTAACAAAAAATTAGAGAAAAAAAAGTCAATAAGAATTATTAAATTATACTGATCACTTCATATGTTAAAATATGCAAATTAAGAACTGTAAGAAAGGTAACTGTAATGAAATGCTCTTAAACACCATCAATGATAATTGAAATAATTCATTCATCAATGTGAATAATGCTAAGCAAATATGATAAGTAAAATGAAGAATATAGCTAATGCAATATCCACATCTAACTCTATATATTAAAGTAAAGCTTATTTTACCAAAACTGTTTTATTTTTACAAAAGAATTATGGGTTTTTAAAAGTTTCAAAGATAAAGATAATAGTTTAAATTTTATTTACACATTTTACATACAGTATTAATGGAAAAAAAAAGCTTCACATAATATAAAGATGACTATTGGTTCAAATTATCATATCAGTGATCGGCTGTTAAGAAGATGTCACTTTTTTTAGATTTGTAATTTTTGGCAACAAGAAACAGGTACAATAAAGAAAGAACACCGACGACACATTAAAAGAAAATATTATTTAAAATTGCACAGAGAAAAACACATCATTTGGCGAAATTATCAAAATCAAAAATCAATTGATTAATAATTGATAATTTGCTTGAATTTACCAAAAATCAAGTCCATTGTCATGAAAAGGATTGCCAAATTAAAATTATTTGGCAAAAGATATCACTTAAAGACATTACTAATTATGGATGACCATTGACCATCTTTAATTTTTAAATAAATAAATAAGTAGATAAAGAAAGACTATCTAGGTATTTATAGAGTTTAATTTCCACTTAACATAGATGGAAAAAGAAATTAACTATTACTTATCAGAAAGGAAAGGATTAGAGGTTTAAAAATAAGTTACATTAAAGCTAAACTAAACTAAATTAAACAAAAACTAGGAGACACGTAATGCTTCTAATGGCATGACACGTTGCTTCATGTGATTTGTACTAACATCAATTGGTAGGATCCTTGTCATAATTGCCTGAAAATGCCATAATTTTTTAAAACAAAAAGCAAACTGGAATGCTAATAAAAATTTCATACCCTTCCATTTTAATAATTTCATTTTTAATGATAAACATAATTAACATCCAACTTACTTTTAACTTAAAACCTTCTAAGATGCTATGTAAACCTTTAGGATCATTAATGCTGCAATTCTTTAGCTTCTCCGACCATTTAAAACAATAAGGAGTGGATTCTGAAAGTATATGTGAAAATATAAATATTTTAAGAAAAGAAAATTTTTTATAATTTAAATAAATATAACAATGCTTTCATATCAAAATGTAAGTATAGGTTATAAGAAAAACTATAACTATATATGATAAAATTGCTTTCTTACTAGTGTAATTTTATTTTTGTAATCAAATCAATCTAAGTTCATTTTTATAATCAAATCAAAATTGCAGAAAGTTTAGTAAATTTTGGTATAAAAGAAACTAAATGAATAAGCAAAAGAAGTAAAGGATCTTATATTTCTTTTTTTTAAAAATAATAAGATTTATTTGTGCCATAGTGTAAGCTCTAACTCTATGCTGTTATTTATATGCTCGTCTATTTCTTATTCCTGATTTCATCGATACTGCTTATTTTATGAATGTGTATTACAATTTGAAATGTCCTAAGGAATGTTCATTTTTCTTATATTAATTACTTTTGTATTAATTCAACTTTTTAATTATTTTGGTCCAAGTCAACAATTATAATATATAAAAAGTAAACTCAGTTAGTACTGCTAAAATCAATAAATAAAAATAAAATTAATATTAATTGAAAATAACGAAACAAAACAATGAAATAACGTTAAAAACCTAATGATCTGCCTTCGATTTCTATTTTGCCATTTCGTTCACACAGTTTCAAAGAAGAGCGCATTTCTTCAGGTACTTCCGATGAATCATTCAAAACCTCTAAGTTACTAGCTGTCATTGTAGAACAAGCATCAAAAAATCTGAAACATCAACAAAATGAAATTTGATAAATATTAATTTTTAAGAAATTATTTAAAAATAAATATTTTCCTTCCAACTGTTTGCTGTGTTTCTGAACATTCGACNAACTTTGAGATCCTAGCATAGCGGATATTTCTGTGCCAATATATGTATATATATATATACATAACTTTTAAAGCATAACCATGAAAAAAAATTATGAGTTAAAAAAATGAAAGCAAAATAATTTCAAAAGTATTTTTCACATGCAGAAGAAAGTATTTTTTTTTCATTTTGCTTTCACTTTTCTTTGATAAAAACATTCTCCAGACATCACATGAAAAACATTCTCAAATAAATAAACTTATTCATTTTAGAAAGAAAAAAAAAAGAAATTGTTGGAGAATTTTAGAGTTTACAGGCATAAAAATGTGGATTAGACTCAAGGCTTATTTTATTAATTGTTTATTATATTGATAAATACCAAAGAAATTTTTCGTGTAACTGTTCCACCATTTAAAGGAACAAAACACAATAACATTTTATTTATCGTTTTTGCAGAAAAATCATGGAATAGATTTTCCAGGAAAACATTTATAGTTTAAACATAACTAATGATTTCACCAAAAAAAGTTTGAAATTATAAAACATAGTGAAATTTACCTTTCAAGGTCCCATTTATTATCTTTGTTATCAGTGATAACTTCAACATTACTCCAAAGAGCCTAAATAAAATAAATATAATAGATTTAATCAACATAGAAATAAAACATGTTTTTAATGTCAGATGATTATTAATGGCACTTTTAATTGTTATTATTTAAAAAATTTTATTATTTTTCTACAGGTTAAAATAATATGGATATGAATTTTTCTTTAAAATATACATAGTTCTAGTTCGTCCTAAGACTTTAATAGAAATAAAATTACTGATTAGAATTATTTTAAAACATAAATCCACTTATATATAGATGTCAAGAAAATAAATGTAAGTGCTTCTAGATAATTTTAGAAAAGATAAATGGTTACATTAAAATGCCAAACTATAGGTTAAAACAAGTGCAATAAAATTTTGAGTAAATACAATAATGACATTTTTATGAATACAAAGCCTGCCGTTTAATGAGATCACGAATTCAGTATCACAGTGCCTGCCGCCGGCAAAGGCCGATTTGTCAAATTTAATAAATTATTATATACAAAGTCAATAGAGCCGCGATGTCTTAGGGGATAAAGCGTTCACCCTCTAATGAGGTGAATTCTACATCCTGGAAATTTTCATGGTCTTTCCCTCCACGTGACGCAAATGTGGGTTAGTTTCATCAAAAAGTCCTCCATGAAGGTAAATTTTTCCCAATACTTGATCTAGGTGTTCCCTTGTCTTCTGGATTGGGTTCAAAATTACAAAGCTACGCATATTGAACATTAGTAGTCGTAAACCCAAAAGTTGGGTCGGCTGTTCAACGATGGTTATAAAATAAAATACAAAATCAATAATATTTCAATGAAATTATTAATTGATTGAGGAGATGGGCATGAAGCATGACACAACATGAAGCATGGCTAAGTAAGATAGAAGATATGGGTCACTCACTAATGACATGTGATTATCAGCAAATTACATGTCACGTACAAAAATATTAAAATAAGAGCAAAATGAACAACATGACAATGATAAACAATTATGTAAATTAATAAAAAACAATTCAGGAAATATTAATTTTATATTCATGCTAACTAAGTTTTACAAGATGAAGGGGACTTTAAGGGTACATATACCCAAGTCCTAATGCTAATGACACCTATATTTTGATTCTAAACAAAAGTACTTTAATTTTTTTAATTATTTTAATTGCTTTAAATATAATAAAAACACTTGATACTCTTTCTTTCAAAAATTCTTAATAAATATAAGATACATTAATAATTTTTCAAAGCTCAACTTAAACAAAACAAATCAAAGTCTTCAAGTTTAAAGAAATAATAAATTGGAACTTACAGAAGTAAGAATAAGTGGTATGTCAGTTTCATATTTATTAATAACACGTGCAACATACTCTATGCAATAGTTATACCATGAGTTTAATTTTAGTTTGACATCTTCCCGATTTTTAAAGTCCTAAAAAACAAAAAATAAAACTGTTATGAACTAATAAATTTGTGAAAAGAATACTAATAATTTTTAATAACTACAAAAATTTTTTATTAAATATGTTGAGAAAACTTTAAAAGGCTCCATTTAAAATAATTGCTGAAATTAGGCCTATATTCCCAAAAATAAAATAAAACATATCAATACAATCTTTTGAACAATAAATTATTTTGTTGCAATTGATAGTAAATTGTAGAGAATCTAAAAACAAATTTTTACACTTCCAAAAAAATATATATAAATCCCTGTCAATAACAGCAATAAATAATAAAACCGTAATTCAATAAAAAAAAATTTTAATACTTTCAGCTAGATAAAATCAAATCCAATTTTTCTAAACAACTTTTTATGAAGATAAGTAAAAGTGTAAATTTAAGTAATCAAATTCAAACTAAAAGTTTCAAACATTACATTTATATACTTAAATTATTATTATATTATATAATATAATTATAATAAAAATAATATAATTATAATATATTTATTTTGCAAAATAATTATCTTTAGCTTACTAAATTCAGAAAATGCAGTAGGAAATTTCTTTAGACAGCAAGCAAGATAATTAAAAAATGTAATTAATTTAAATAAGAAATCGATTTGAAAGAAAAAAATGAATATAAAATGTTAGGATAATATTTAAATTCAGTCAAATATAACCGGTCATTAAGCTATACAAAATACAAAATTTATTTTGGCTAGAACTTTATTATTTTTGAAAATGAGATAATAGTGAAAGGTTATAGTTATGACACATTTAAAAATAGTAAATTTCATAGGATAATAAAACAATGCTATTCAAATCTGAATAAAATACTCAGCTTTATGAGTAGTTTGAAAGTTAATTAAATGTAAAATTTGAATAAATGTTTGCATGATAAATTTAATAAAAAAATTGCACTTTTATGGAAAAGAAATAACAGAATTTTGTTTTTCAAATACAATTTACTGGTTCAAAAATATAATAATATTAATAATAATTTTTTGTTGTTTAGCCATTTTTAATGTATAATTTTAGAGCTTATCTTAATAAATAAACTGTGCAATTTCAAAACAGATAAATAGTGGGATATTAAATGCTACGAAAAGCATGATTCTGTATACTAAGACTTGATTTAATTTCATGAACAAATGTTTACCTTCACCGATACATGAAAAATCAAACATGATGATACATTAGAAAATATTTAGTGAATAACTTTATTTACAGAATTTACATAAGTAAATGTGAGATTGTATATATTGAATATAAGTACCCTTGCATGCAATTACATGCATGAAAGCATTTGGATACATAAAAATATAACTGTGAAAGTTAAATGTTTCAAACTATTAGTAGTTATTGTTTACACTCCATGCAAACTTACCCTTATTTGAAACAAACTTCGTTAAATGTTTCTCCTAGTATAAAAATAAATTTTAATTATAATTTCATACCTGTTCAATTAAATAATTAACAAAAAAAAATAATAATGGTCAAAGTTTATTTATTTCATTGTTTTTTAAAAAGCATATTTCCATTTTTATAAATTTAAAAGGTTGTCTTTGAACATCCTTTTCTTTTCCTTTTAGAAAACTGATTTTTAAGTGTCATGCTATTAAGTAACTACATTGTATAACAACACAAAAACTACCGTTGTTAGCTAAAAGACTATAATAATGAATTTTTCCTTCATTTCATATTTTCAATGACATCTGGCAAAAGCAAATATATATTTTTGTGAATTTATTCAAAAGGGCTAAAATTAGAAAATCTTAATAATTTTACAACAAAACCCAGAATATAAAAACAGCGTCTTTACAACGTAATACTTAGATAAAATTTCTATAAGAATAAATATCTATTCTGAAAAAGCTTGTTAAACATGATAATATTCTGGTAAATAAGAGTAAACACTGATAAAAAATTTTGTCTTACTTAGAAATTCTATAGAAATAGAAAATAAGATTGGATAAATAAAAATATATTTAACTAATGTTGTATTGAATTAAAGCCTTGATCCAGGCAACAGGAAATACTAACAATATGATCATATAACAGAGAATTATTAATAAAATTTATTCAAAAAAACAATAATTTTCATCTTATATAGTTAAATTATCGGGAGGGAAAAGATTCAAATTATTATAATATGATTAATACTATAAATGCTCTCAAAACTAAATTAAAATTTAAGGTGCAAAGCTCAATATTTCTAATATTCTTTCAAATATTTTGGGAAAAAATAACTTAGTCACTTAGACTAATAAAATATTTGTCATTGTGTGAAAGCCTAAATCAAAACATCAAATCTTTATAATGTAGTGTTTTAATTTAAAATAGTAAAATAAAGTATTACTGAGATTAGTATAAAAATAATGCACTCAGTTACTTAGAAATATAATTTTATCTTCAATGTTTTCATTATATTGGGAAAAATACTAACATATAGGGTTCGAATTACACTAAAATCAAAAGTTATTAAAACAATCGACAAAATCAAACTGGTCAAAAACTTAAAAACTCAGTAAAAAAAAGTTTTTGATTCTTCCAGAAGCATTATATTTTTCTCATTTTTGAAACTGAGGAGAAAAATTTTATTATAATTTTTTTGTATTTCTATCTCATTCTTGTACATAAAGTATCTTACAAAAACACTTTTGCCATAAAAGTTGAAAATAAACATTGAACTTTTTCTTTTTAAAATTAAACAAAGGCATTGGCAGAAAGATTTCTAGTAAATAGCCACAACAAGCTATAATGAAAGACAAACACATTTATTTTTATTGATGGTGCTATTCATGCATATAAAAGTTAGCTAATAGCTCACACTGTAGGAAATATTTGTTGTCAAAAATAAAATACTGTTTCTATTTTTTCATTTTGAAAATAAATGTTTTTGATGACAAATTTTTTTCTTATAAAGGTTAAAACAATATTTTGGTTAAAAGCACAACAAATCTATTGATTTTTTAGAGTGATTCAAGTTCCCTGAATTTACCAATGCTAAGTGGATATTCTGAAAATAATCTAGTATGAAGTACAACACAATAATAAAAATACAGTGCTGGAAAAAAGTATTAAGTCACCGAAGAAGGTGATAAAACCTGAGAAGAAATTATCTTTATGGTTTTATTTTACAATACAGTAATAGATTATGACATAATAAAATCAAAAACGAAATGAAATTAATAGCAAAATACATTACACACTACTTCATGTTCACAATAAGATTTCAACACAAAGTTGGAAAAAAGTATAAAGTCGGCACAATTATTAAATAAGTGATCAATGTGATATCTTTTATTTTCGATTACATTTATCAATCTAGCATTAAAAGAACCCAGATAAAGTTTGTAAAATGCTGTTATCAATATTGTTTCCAAGACATCTTGATTGCATCAATCAAATCCTACTAGCTCCAGAATTTTCAGTCCCATCAGTAAACATCTCTTACTAGCATGCCCCAAAGGTTTCCTACCGGATTCAGATCTGGGCTACGAGATGGCCACTAAAGGGATTTAACCTCATTAGCTTTCACCTAGGATTTAGTTGAATATGAAGTATGGACGACTGCCGCATTGTTCTGTTGGAACATCCAGTCCTAGGACATCACAAGAAGAGCAACAGATAATAAATTATCTCTCAATGTATTTGGACATATAAGAACCATTTCTTTAAAAGCTACTGCATGTAAACTACAAAAATCTTTTTAAATACAACACGGATTTGCTTCATGCACTGAAGCAAGCCCTTTTCTTGCATTTTTTTTATGCCAGATAATGATATAATTGGTATTGACTTTACACTTTTTTTTCCAAGTTCTTTTTCAGATTAAAAATAACATTTTCATGCATAGCAATAAGGCTCTACATATAAAAGTAAAAAAGAAATTTGCATATATAGCCAAAACAGTGGTGCTTTATATTTGGCGACTTTTTGCTCAGCTTTATTTTTTCTAGCACTGTAACTATAAATTACTGCACAACACAGATAGAACACATATTAGTAAAAATGTGTTTGATATAGCTTAAAAATTTTTTAATTGAATATACTTAATTGCACTTTTTTTAATTCCATTTACAACAATTAAATATTTTAACATCAAATAATTCATAAATATAGGAAGTAGATGAGTTACAAATAGTTATTAAAATTATTACCTCAGGATCCAATAGATTAACAAAAGTGCAACAGAAGGCATTCAGCTCTGGACAAAAAGTAAATAAAAAAATTAAGGTTGCAATAATCAATCAGAAAAGTTCATAATTTTAACATGATACAAAATTTTCGAAATACATTAGTATCAAATAACACATTTTTCATAATATTTTTCTATTTTTACTTTTTATAAAACATCTTGATTTATTTTATTTAACATTGCACAAATTATGTGAAATATCCACACATGATGCAAACTATTCTTTTTTCTCTTTAAAAAAAAAAAAAGCAGAATTTCAATAATTAATCTTAACTTTAAATAAAAAATTAGTATATTTTCTATTTATTACTCAAGACAAATATTCTGATTATTAATAATTTCATACAATCATAAATAAATTTAAATTCATCAAAATTCATTATTCCAGCAAATAGCACTTCAATTTTCCAAAGTCAGCACAAATAAATTTTTGCACTAAGACTTAGAAGAGAAACAATAAAAAAATTTTGAATTACATTCAAAAAAATTCTTGAGTCAAAGCAAGCACATTTGAGATGATAAAAAATGTAAGAGACATTTCTACTCGAGTACCTAATATGTGTCTGCTGGATGAAAAAATATGGTTTTCCGAAAAGAGTAATTAGTGAGCTGCAATAGCAATAAAATATATAATTTACTTTGAAAAGAACCAAGTGAAGTTATGCTGCTCAAACTTAAAATATAAAAAAAACTATGAATATGCCTTATAAAGCAACAAATTTAAATGGAACAAAAAATTATGCCTGAAGATGACACAAAAATATTAAAAAAAAGGAACAAATAAATAAAGAACAGTAATGAAGTGATTAGCCTATCTAAGAATCATGGTAGGTACTCATATTTATATCACGAATATTACGCTACTTTTTTTTATTGTTTTCAACTCTTTTGAGGAGTTAAAAGCAATAAAAAAAATATAAAATAAGAATAAATTAAAATAAATAAATGATTAAAAGCACTTCCAGCAAACAGATAAACAAAAAGACAACTCAGTAAAAAGGTATCATTGCTATTAGAATAAGCTTGCATAGATTTTTAAAATACACATTAAAAATATGTGTTTCCATTTTTATTTGAGAAATGCTCAACAAAAAAAAAATTTATAAATTTCAGCAATTGAATGCTGAGTTTAATGGCAAAAAACATATGAACGAAATACTGCTACGAAAATGAAAAGCTAGAACAGTACGAGATTCCTGCTATTAAATTTTGTTGACATTTAAAAAGACAGATATTAAAGCTGTTAAATAACTTTTGGGCACAAGAGTGTGCATATGACAACTAAATTATTCAATTTAGTGAATAAAATTACTAAACACTTTAATTAAGTGCATATTTAATTACTCATTAGTAAATGAATCAGATTATAAAATTAGTTAATTTAGTATAGAGTAACAACTTATGTAGACAAACTAAATATGTTGATTAGCTGTCTAAGTTGAGTTTAAGAGTTAAAAACAAAAGTGGCAAAAACAACCAAATTTCCCCACATGTTAACTACTTGTCCAAGTGTAGCATCATATTGTTGTCCCACAAGTTGCCAACTTACACTATAATCTGATTTATCGATTCATTTTTCAAAAAATGTTTTCTACTAACTTATATAAATATTTCAGGCTTTAATTATAACAAAACAATTAAGAAAAACAAACATAAACTCTCTTTTCATTTTATTCCTTATTTCAGAGACATAGATATTAGTTTATGTAAATTTTAATTAATACAAATATTAGTAAAGCTATTTTTCAATATCTTTAACACAATGTAATGAAATATATCTAATTAATGTGTATAATATAAGATTACTTAACTTAAAGGCTTAAGAAAGGTCTTAAAAATGAAAAATTAACTAAGGTTTAGAGCAAATTAAAAAAAATTATGAAATAAAAATACTCTATATCCATATATGTAAGTTGACCAATTGAACAAGACGATCCCCTATTTTCGATTACAAGATAGTAAAAAACAAAATATGAAAATTTCTAAAATTAAAAAACCTGAAAAAAAGAATCATTAACAAAGTTTTCTCAAGTTAAAAATATTTCAGATTGTTCTATCTGGATATGATATATTTGCTCTCAAATTATTAGGCATAACATTACTGTGAATCTGGATGTTCCGGAATCTACAATGCTTTAAAAGTTTTCATTGTGTTATATTTTTTTAAACTTCTCTTGAATAAATTTTCTAACCCCTTTTTTTCTAAATGCAACTTAAAGTATTGATCCCAAAAAAATCTTTATATATAAAGAAAATATGATGAGAGAAAAGACATAACAGTGTCAACCCCCTGATTTTCATAAAATTTTAGAGGTTTGAAAAATTTACTTATACACTGGGATATACTCTGCATATATAAAACAAAAAATAGAACCTTAATTAAAATCTATCTAAAATATTAAATCAAATATTTTAAGGATATGATTCCATAATTTTATCATTTTCGGGTGCAATCATACAGATGAAGAAAGTATATTGCTTAGAACCATCTCCTCCTATTTCATCTTCGGTTGTCAAAACAGCATTTTTTGATAGTCTGTGGAAAAAACAGCCAAAGGTATCTTCTGATTCTTCACTGAAATAGAATTAAATAATAAAATTTATACCATTAATAAGTGAACAAAAACCAAAAAAAAAAAAGAAGAAAAAGAAAAGAATAGGAAAAAAAAAGCAAAGAAACAAGAGTACAAAGATAAAAATGAAAGAGCAATTGTAACAATACTATGTTTAGGATCAGGATACAGTATAAATTAAGAGGCTTTAGAAATGAATTTCAGGTTTGAAATTAATAAAATAAAGTTTCATGACAACCTGGAATGCAGAACTGCATATTTTCCTTCATTTTCAAACTTCAAATCTTCACGTGATGAAAGCACATTAAGAAGATAGCAACGCACAACCGTTTCCTGTGTTGCATCAACATTCCCTTCTAAAAGTGATAAGCTAAATATTTGGGAGAAAAAATGTTTAGAAACAAGAAGTGTTATTTGGACAATATTGCACGCAATGTTTATTAGGATTATTTTCAGCAAATAGGTTATTTTCAGGCAGTGATAATAGTAAGAAAAAAATTACGTCAGAAAGTTTTTATTTTTGATAATAAGATAGAAAGAAGATAATTAACTAGAAAAACATAGAAGTTACACTAAATATTTAAAAAAAAAATACAAAATGATAATATGGTGTGAGAATAATAATTTTAGTTATATACATGATTAAAATAATAATTTTATTGTATATATTTTAAAGTATATGCAGGGGCATGTCTAGGTTTTTTTGAGAGATACCTATTTTGTTGAAATTTAGATATAATTTGAGAAAATTAAAAGCTACATTGAAAATTCGACCCCAAAATATGGTAAAATAAGACAGTATGTTCAAAAATTGTCACTACAAATGAAAATCATTTATGTCTGGTAAAATTCTATATATTTTCCCCCATATATTAAAAAATAACTTTGCTATTGTGAAATTTCGAGCTAAACATTGTATCCAAATTTAAAAAACCACTGTCCATAGTTAAATTTCAACTTGCATAACAGTACTAAAAGTTATTTTCATTATGAGAAAATTTTCGATTAGGTCATGAAAAAAAAGTTTCAAAGGGAAAACAATTTTTCATTAAAAAAAAAAAAAGATGGTCTGTTAGAATAAATTTACTATAATGTTAAAGATGATGTTTGAATGTTTAGAATGATGTTCAAATTTTGACTTCCTGTGTAGTTTATAGAGAGAGAACCTCGTTGCTTCATTTAAAAGAAACTCTGGGAATTATAGTTTTTTTATGGGGATACAAAAACAAAATTTTAAGAGGCGGAGAATCTTAGAATTTGCTTTTATCAAGTATTTTGTGAAACTATCGTTTTTTCTAACTTTGAATTTGTGAAGGAACCGCTAAACGGTTGCAAATTTGCTATGGACAGATCCCTGATATGTCAGCCCTAAACAGTTTTAAAACATGACAAAGTAAAACAAACAAATATTTTAACTAGTTTTTCAAAACATTAGAATTAATCCCTCACAAAAGTGTCATTTTTTTTCAGAGCAAAAGAATTATAATAGTAAGGGAATGAGAAAATAAGCATGAAAAGCTTTAGAAGTTCCTACCCACCAATAAAATTAAAGTATATATTCTTCAACTATCCCATTTGAGGAAATTAATACATTATAATTCATTTTTAGAAAATAAATTTACTTTAAAAGAGGGAAAGAGATTATTATCTTAGCACTTTTCCAATTTACTGATTCAGTTTCTTTTTAAACACTTCCAATTTGTTTTGCTGAAACTGAAATTTGTTTTGCAATTTTATCAGAACATGCTCCTAGTAGATTATGAACACTGTTTTTACTCGAATAATATTCCCATCAATCGAAAACATTTTGAATTGCTATGAGTAAGAAGATTATACGAATTATGAATTTCAAACGTTTTTGCTAAATAAAAGACCAAAAGATTAACTTAAAAACATAGAAGTCACACTATGAACAAGTATTAGTTTTAAAATAAGAGTGCACAACCTTTTTGAGTGAAGGACCACTTGGCCAGCAGGAAGATTAATGAAAGACTACATGCATATTTAGTCATGTTAATGGCAAATATGATAATTTTTATATAAATATTATTATGTTCTAAGCATTCAATATTTTTGCAAACCTAATAGCATGTTTACAGAAAATTGAATACTTTTAATTATTTAAATTTATTTAAAACTAAAAAAACAGATTTTTTTTTAAAAAACTTTTTCCATTTTTCTCAATAATTATTTAATATATATATACATATATGTAGAGTTTCAGTGTCATAGTGTAATATTTGAGCAGATTGCATCATCCATCATCATGTAATACTCCAGAGAATTTCATCATCTACTTCCTCATTAACCGGTGCCAACGAGTCCCGAATTCATAATTAACTCTTTCTTCCGTACAACAATCCAATTTCATATTCACATTCGATTTGGCGACACTGCGAGAAGGCAGCTCTCACCAATCATGTCACCATTAAGCTTATTTCCTTTTTTTTCCTATTAAATGTTAAGTTTGATCAATAAATTATTGTCGTTATTTCCTCTTATGCTCCGCAAACTCCTACATATATATATGAAAAATATAAAAAGAAAAATAATAAATTTATATTTAACAAAAATATAACTTAATCAGTTTTCACCAGGCTAAGTAAAATTAAATCTTACATTTAAAAAAAAAAATGATAATAACTCTAAGCTAACAAAACTTGGGTAAATATGCTTCACATTTAAGCCCTATGACATCACAAATTAAAAACACTTTTCACTGAAAAGGGAAAAACTGCTCAGTACATCCTTGCTTACATTTTTATAGATGCCTTTCATCCTAAAGATAAAGTAAACAAGAAATACAATTCTAACTCCATAGACCAAGCTTGGTAAACCATCAACAAAAGTCACATCACTGTTAATGAGGCATTTTGCGATTAACCCCTTAACGCACAGATTTTTTGGGGAAAAAAACGACCAAAAAAAAATCTATTTTTTTAATGTAGAAAAACACACTTTAGAACAAAGCTTCCATCTGTTGCCGCTCCTGGTTCAACTTTTCTTTTGGTGAACAATTTTGATATATACTGTGCTTTTTTTCAATGGAAAAAGGCTATATTTTATTCTTGAATAAATAAGTGTTATAGCTTACAATCCTATGTAAATGATAAATATCAATAAAACAATTTTTTTTCTTACCTTTCACTTTGTTATTTTCAATTCTCGATTATATTCGAGTATGAAAAATTATAGCAGCATAAAATACAATGTCGCCCGAATTATCCCCAGTGTGCACAGTTTGGTCTGTTTAGCACGCTCGAGTTAACTCGAGAGCACAAGTTAAGGGGTTAAATAAACAGCGTATAGAAAAAGACATACAGTTAGTTTATATAATCACTTTAAAATGAAACATTTCATTTGCGAAATACAAATGGCAAAATTGTTTTGACTATTCAATTTCTTAACAACCAATTTTTTTCACATAATGAAGGATGGTTTTACTGTCACAAATGGGGAGATTTTCGTATTGTGATCTGTGGCAAAATAATCGCCAAGTCTTGGAAACTTCCGGGCAGTGACCTGCGAGAAACTAAAAAAAACATCACAGAAAGGGATCAACTCAAAAGGTATAACTCGTAGCCACCCCCAGGCAAACATCAACATGTTTTTTTTCTTTCAATTTTCAAGTTTAAAATTGGCACCTTGGGGATTGTAGTTGGCGCAACAGATCACGATACGGAAAGATCCCCGTCACAAACTATACAGTGAATAGTAACTTGTTGCGAGTTTAACTATGGTTTCCAGTTTATACATTACTATACACATTTACCTGGAAGACATTTCACTCAAAAAAATTATATTACAATGAAATCTAAAATGAAATGCTTTAATGCCAAAATGTAATCAGATTTTAGTTTCCAATTACCAATAGATAAATTAAATATAAGTAATTAAGTATATGCCATTAAAAATAACAAATGAATTACTAAGGGGTATATTAAAACTTGTATCTTTAAAGTATGCATAACTGGTTGAAAGCTTTACAGATAAAATCATGTCACTCAAAAAAATTTATTCATTGTGCAGTTAACATAAAAGTGATTTGAAGTCTGAAAACTTATTAAGTCAGACATAATAATATTAACCCCTTCTAAAGATAAAACTTCTTTTAGATTGGATTTTATAATTTTATCATTATAAATAATTCACAAAATTCGTATCTCCTTCAATGCAAAATAGATATCTGTAATAAATAAAAACTTTACCAAACACTGGGCTCATCACAATCAGTTTTAGGCGAAGTTGAATCTTTCTTCTCGTTGCTAGGTTTATTTCCAGAAATCGATGCATGCCTGAATCAACAAAAAACATACATACTCAACTTTATAAGTTTCGATAATAACGACATAACAAAACGTAACTCTTAAGGTGACATGAAACAAAATAAAAGAATGAAATGTCAATGTTAAGGTTTCTTACTTTTTATTATTACATAGATAAAGTGCATATCTACTCTCGCATTTTTGTTGTTGGGAAAATTCCACTTTAGATTCCATGAAATCTAGCTAAACAGTTCGGCTGCTAGAAGACATATTTATTTATGATTTCAATTTACATCCTGACGTCTCCGGCTATCTATTTCTGTTAAATGAAAACGCTTTAGTGATCAGTTGCCATTTAGGAAATATTAAAGCTTTAAATACCTTTTCAAAATCAATATTAATCACAAACATTACCATAACAACAATTAATTAATTATTTTCTTCTCAATCTTTACTAATTAGTTATTTTTAATCCTAATGTTGCAATAAAAAGTATTAAGTATTTAAAACTTAAGATGGCATCATTACAAGAAACGCTTTTTATATTGTTTTTGTTTCGGTTTTCTGTTATTGTCGGCTGCTAATTTTTTTTCAATAGGTACTTGCCATTTATCTTATACAACTTATGTAAATATTGAGAAAAATATGTTCATTTTTGTGGAATTTCAGAAACAAACATTGATATTATTTATTTTTCCTTGAAAAATTTAGATCTCCTTAGCTTATATAATTCTACAACTGAGTTTCAATATGGCGTTCTATTAATTATAAATTAAAACGACCATATAATCTTAGTATCTTCTTACTATTCAGATTAAGCTTTCAAACTAATTCTACAGATAAATGAACTTCAATAATAACATTAGCTAATTCATTTAATGCTAATAAAGGATAAGTAGTAATTGTTTTAAAGTTTAGATAAAATTTGTAATTTTAATGTTCAAATTATTTACTTTAAAACTAATTTTTAATTTTGTTTGTTGTGTAAAAATGCATCAAATGAAATATTTAATGCTACACCTGACTATTATAAAATACACCCTAAAATATACTATTTATTAAAAATACTTTTGATAGCTACAATTAGAGGATTTTAATACTTGCTCGTTCTTATATTAACATATTATATAATTCGTATATTAACGTATTAACAAGCATATATATTGCCCGTACGTTTTATTAATTTAAATATATCTTATTACGTTTATATTTTCTTAATTTTATTGCTATAAGTATGGCTTACTCTTTCAATATAAGATATTAAAATAATTTCACATAAATAGAAATGGACCATATAAAGAACTTTTATTAATTAAATTTTTTTTTATACATAAATAATAGATGGAAGAAATATTATGAGTATTATTGTTCAGTTTTCGTAGATTTATGCGTTCCCCTTTTATGTAATCTTTTTTTTTTTTTTAGCATTTTAATATGAATAACTTTTTAAGTAACATTGAATTGTTCCCAAATGGTGTAAATTTTTCTGATTTGAATGCCACAGACATTTTTAGTATGCATATCAATCAGGCCCTAATAGAACAAGTTCTCTTTATATGAGTCCTAAATCAAGATTGTATAACTTGAATTCTTTTCTTCTTAACAAACTTTCCTCGTTTCTGTATCTTGTTTTAATGTAAATCAAGGAAATTTTCCTATTAAGCACCCTATGTAATATGACATTTAAGGGATTAAATTTGTTCAAAACCATAAAAGGTCATGATTTAAAATGCTATTACATAGTTTAGCTGCTACTGACGTTTTAAACACAATGTAATACTTGATGTTGCATGTCATTTTTTGTACTTCGTAGATTTATAATCTCCTATGAATATGATTAATGAATTTCACTAAATGTTTTGATATATTCATGACTGATGTATATACCATTTTCTTTTTCATGAATATATTCTAGATTTGATACATTCATGAGAAAGAAATCAGATTTAATTTGAAGGACTAATTTTGTGGTTCGATTTCTTTCTCTTCAATTTTTTTTTAAAATTAAATATTATTTTTCACCCTAAAGAATATCTTTGAAAAGAATGCTATCTCTGATAATACTATTGCTTACGAGAAACATATCAATACATATAGGTATAGGGAATTTTAGTATAGGTGTATTTAGTATAGGTATATGGTGATCGATATGCTATGCACTTTAATTTTTATATTGCACTTTAATTTTTATTATTTAAACTTAGTTTTGATATGTTTGAAAAATTAATTGTTCAAGTTAATTAAAAATCAAATGTTTTTTTTCCTTCATCACTATATTTCATACTATTTATACTTTTTTTCACTTTTTTTTTAGTTCATTATATTTTCGTAAATTTAGAATTCTATCAAGAAAACTAAAATTCATGGGCATCGTTGGTGCGGAGAAGATAGGTACAGGCCCCTTTTAATACTTAGAAAGCTTGAAATGACCCCCTTAATATTCAGATAATCAATATATATGTTAAAAGCAGGCTAAAAAAATTTAAAAAATAATTAATAATTTTGGAGATAAAAGGAATTTTCGTCAATTTCTTTTTCCTGATGAAATGTAGTATTTTATAGAGGTTTTGAAACAGTGATCATAGTTTCGCCTCCCCCCCCCTCTTAAATAAACTGGATGCAGGAGACGTCCTTGTAAAAATTCAAGCAGAGCAATATTCAGTGTCTAAATAGTACTGTACAGTTAAACATCTTTTGACCAATTGGTTGCTAAACTTTAGTTTCAATTTATGAAATTAACTATTCTGTAGCAGTTCTGTTCGGATAAAACTTAAGAGGCCCCTACCCTCGCCATCTTGAATTTTAGGCTAAATTTTTAATTTGCGTATTTTTTGTAATTAACAAACTTTTGATGATATAGTATTATCAGGCAGCACAATACCTTAAAAAAAAGTAGAAAATAAAGAGGTCGCTTAGGAGAAATAGCGCTTGATAATTTTTATAACTTCTATGAATTTTTCCTCAAAACTTTAAAGCAATAAAATGATACGATTTGTGGTTTTTGAAAAAGTAATTATAAACTGCGCGTTTATCAGTATTTAGATTCTTTGAAATCTAATTTTTTTCTAGCTTAAGCTGAAGAAAACCGCTTTGGATGATGCTAAAAAATTCTTTTAATGTTAATTGCACAAAAACAAAGATACTTATAAAAAATCTAAAAACAGGAAATTATATACTATTTAACTACCTATCAAAAACTGTTGATTGCATGCAATGGCAAAATTTTGTCAGTGAAATTTTATTTATATCCGTTGTTGAACAGCCGACCCAATTTTAGGTTTACGACTACTAATGTTCAACTCCGTAGCCTTGTAATTTTTGAACCAATCCAGAAGACAAGCAAACTCCTGTATCAGTACCCCCAGAGGTATTGATTTGTTATGAGGACATGGGGGACTTTGCGACTAGACAGATTTAACGTGCATCAGTCACCATTTACTACACGGGGAGTCGTCGGCCGGCGGGGACAGAACCCACAAGCTCTTTGAGATAGGCCTAGTGCCCTACAAACCAGGCTATCCCGGCCTTAGAAAAATTCAATAGACAATCTAAAATACAGCACGCTTTATATAGCAAATTGTGATTGTTTGGTGGCCTTGTATTTTTCATGCATCGAAAGAGACTGCTAAATAGAATAAATAACTATGATCAGTTTATTTGTGAAAACTGCATTAAGAGAATTAAGAGCATATTTAGCATTTTCTTTCCCCTTCTCCACCCCTTCGGCAGTTGAATTCAGTCAGAGGAGAAAAAGCCTCGTTGGAAAAAAAAAAGAAATTCGATGAGTAAATAAAATAAAATAAAAAAAACTATCTTTAATTAAAAAATCCTAAATTTCGATACTTTGATTAGAAAAATGGACTTAAAAAGAAAAGAAAAAACCATATGTAAAAATGAAAGGTTAGAAAATTGCGAGTATATTTTCTTGCTAAGAAAACGGAAAATAAGCATAGACTGCTGCTTATGAATCCCATTAATATTGCATTACGACTACAAAACAATCTACCTCCTTATTTGATGTTAGAAATACATCAAAAATTAACTGAATGAAAATAAAAATTATTTCGAAAATGCAGGCGATTTATGAATGAACAAAATTTTCAAATTATTCTTATTTTGTTGGAATAATAAAATGCAAATTGTACTGCCAGGAAAATTATTTCAATTCCTTTAACTAAAAGAATTTTTTGTTAAGAAGTTGAACGTTCTGCAACAATCACATGTTTGACATTTAAAAAACGAGACCTTTTTCAGGAAACTCCATTTAAAATTAATGAAAATTAATTTTATCTATATTTAGTGCAACACATTAGTTCGATAATATCGTTTACAAAATTATTTAATGATGTTATTTAAATTAGATTATTACGCTACTATAGTAACATTACTACCCATTTCATGTATTTTTACTTCTCTCGTTTTTTACCTTGCATTTAAGTCAAATTGTTAAAGTAAAAAAGATTAATAAATAAATAAAAAATTTCCCCCATGTATTAAACTAGTTTATCGGAGAATTGTTTAGTACAAGAAAAAAAATTATTATTTTTTTATTAAATTTGTTAATGGTCAATAAAATAATGAACTGAGAGGTTTGAAAAGTTTTACATTATGTAAGACTACGTAAAATTAGATGATAAAATCCAAAGTTTCAACTAAATCGGTTTATTTATTTTGTATTCTTAACACAGCATTGTTAAAAAAAAGTTATTTAAACAAAAATAAATTGAAAAAACTGTTGCAGGTGTTGTATCGCGATTTCCCTGATAGAAGGGTCAAGTATCTTATATACGAGGGAGCACAATCTGACTTTATATAGTATTTCTTTAAATAAAGTGTTTGAATTTTTTTGCAAATCAAGCGGTTTTCTATGATTTTTAAGATAAATACTTATTTTACGACCTTAGATCACCTTTGTGATATTTCCACTTTTTTGTACGATTCTTTGTTCCTAGACATAGAAATTGATGAATAATTTTTCCTTATTAAATATCTAATTCTATTTTTCTGAAATGAAACACAAAATGAATTCTAAATCAAATTCTGAAATGAAAAACACAAATGAAAGGGAAAGAATAAAAACAACAAATCATCAATAATTATATTTTAACAAATTAAGTTAAGGTCTTCATGATTTCAAGTTTCATTCAGAATGTGCTAATAAGTATAGTGATGCCAGCGTATTTCAATTAATCAATAATAGATGAACAGAAAAAAAGCTGCCCAAGTAGTTTAATCAACAAATTAGTAGATAAAGATTTATAAGAATCAATTTTTTTAAATACTTTTACTAAAAAATGTTTTATTAATATTTGATTAATAATAGATAATGGAAATAAAGTTTTAAAAGAAACATATTAAACATTCGATTATCAATCACTTTTGACTAAACTATTTTAACCAGATTACTGCCTACAACTTCCTAATTAATATTTAGCATTATTTGATGAGTACATTTTAATTAAGCCGTCATAATACAAACAATTTTTTGAATTTGTACTACTTGTATAGTAAAATTCTGGTTACCTGTATTAAGTTATTCTGATTGGGAAGATGTGTGCGTAAAAACCTGTTTATAAGTTATATCGAGTAATTTCTTTTGAAAAAGCCTCTTACCCGCCCTTTTAATAAATAAAAAATATATATAAATAAATAAATAGTTTTTTACAAGCCCTATAGTTTCTTGCCTTCTTCAGTATTTTCGCATACAAAATAATTTCCTGTTTTTCGGCAATCCGGCATTATCATTTTTTATTATTTTAAGTTCAAAATACTGACTTAAAAATTCTCAGTTAAGTTCATTAAGTATTCAAAATACTAAGTTAAATTCAAAATAATTAAGTTTAAAATATTTTGTTACTGAGTTTGAAAATAATTTTTTTCAAAGGAAGAAAAAAAAAGACAAATCAGGCAAGATTGGATACTTGACATTTTTGATTTTGCTGAAATTTTCTAGATATATGTTCTGTATATAAAACTATTAGACAAGTGTTTTTTTTTTTTTTTTAGAAAAAAAAAATTTTTCTCAAGATTTTTTTTTGGGGGAGGTGAGGGGTCGAAACTCAATCATCCTCTGGATTGTTGAGAAAAACACACTTTTAAAATGGTATTTGTGAAATGAGTGAACAACAGCAGTGACAATTATTTTGTGTTCTACTACTTCCGCATTAATTATTAAGACGAAATGCTTTGAATGGACCGACCAATGGAAGGTTACTCAGAAATCTTCTAAATTAGGTTTTCTCTTTGACTTTGACTGTTAAAATCTAGTGAATGACCATTAAAATAGTGAACCATATAGGTATATATTTCTGCGAATGCATATTAATGAAAATCAACATATGTGTGGTATACGTTTGGCGTGACCTTAAAATTTATCTTAAAGTCGCAAGAAGCTAAAAATTTTGTGCGTCTTTTTGGTCATTGTCTTGCTTTCGCCAAAACTAGACAACTATGAAATTTTCTGGAAAAGAAGCCTTAAGTATACCAGCAGAAATAAAATCAATTCGCTATGGTTACTAATTCAACTTTTATATGATATGGTTCTAAACTTTGAGGTTCGTATCTCTGTAATTGAATAAAGAAATAGTTATGAGAAAGATGTAAATTGCTTTAAAAAAATCAGTAAAGTGTAAATAGGGGGTGTTAACTTCAGATTTTCATCTTTGGACTTAAAACTCATTTTTTGAACCAGTAATGTCGAAAGTTGAAATGCACCAGAAAAAGATCATGCCGTCAACTTGGTGGGATTGCATGGTTGTTGTGAATTATAAACTATTTCAAAGCAACCGAACGTTGTACTCAGATGTATACTGCCAAAAACTTGTGAAATTGGAGAAAGCAATTAACGTAAAAAAGGCCATTTTCCACAAAAGGCTGTTGAAAAACCGTTTTCCACCACCACAATGCGGAGCCTCACACATCATTAGCAATACATGTGAAGTTTTAGGAGTTTTTTTGGGTAGTAGTGTCGAATACACCGTGTAGCCCCATGTCCTATTCACCATGTAGCCTAATAAAATTTGTAAATGGTAAAAATTTTAGTAATGAGTAACCTCAAATCTTTCTTGAGCAATTTTTTTTTTGTTGTTGCTAACAAGGACCAGAAACTCTAAAAGCACGGGTCCGTGAAGTTACCAGCAAAATGGCAAAAGATCATAGAACAAAATGGAAAATGTTTGACACGTAAAATTTGAGTTTTACTTCACACTAAAAATAATTTTGTTTGAAACCATTGCCGCTGCGCTTTCAATGAAATCGACCTCGGTTGAAAGTTTCGTTACCCACAACAGTTTTAAGACATGCATTTAATTTACTATGAATTATATTTACAAAAAGAAAAATCAAATATTTTGGTTCTCCTGATAGAATTAAAACAACAAATTGCCACTTATCGCTTTTTTTAAAGCAAAATAAAAGGATAACAAAAAATAATTTTCAGCTGGAATAAATCTATATAGCTAAACGTATGTCTAAAGCTTGTAACTTTTCTAATAAATTTATTTTTCACAATTGTTACTTTTCATTTTAATATTAATAGCTGAAATAACGAAATAAGTTATTTACAGCATATTAGTTTAAAATAGTTGAAGACAACTTACAAATGTTTATTAAATACCTCTATAATTATGATAAAGCAGAATAAAAATTCTGTTAAATAAGAGATAAATCGATAATTTACAGTTAAATATCTTTATAACTTTTAACAAATTAAGCTGATAACAGCGAAACGGATCTCCTTTATTAATTAAGAATTCTGTCATATGATTTTTCCTAATAATAAAAAGGCATTGACAACAATTAGAAATAGTTTTATACAACTATTATTTTATTTTTGAGGGAAAAAATGCTTGAAAAGGCAGAATCGAGAGCGGGATGTCGAGAAAATGATGGTGTTTTTTTAATTTTTTTATTGGTCACTTAGATGTAGTGTATAGTATTAAAAATTGTTTTATTATTTGAGAGACTTATGGTTTTCGTTTAGAGTTTTACATAAATGTTTAATTATACAAACATTTTATTTATCTCACTTTTATAGTAAATGATCAATAAACTGACTATATTGTATAGAAATATGTTATTTATTGTGGATATATTTTTCTGCAAATACTCATATGTAATTTAAGGAGATTTAATATATGTTCTTACTTACTAAACGTAATTTAAACACTAATTTCTTTATTCTTTATATTTTCAGACAATTTAATCACACAAGATGTCAAACAAGGAACAAATCACGAGAATGCCCTCTGGCAATATGCAGTCTCAACAGCAGCAATCCCAACAATCTCCTCAACAACACATGTCTCAACAACAACAATCACAGCAGCAAAATTATCCACAAGACAATTTGCACATGCTTCAAAAAGCTATAAATTCGATGGAGGAAAAAGGCATGCAAGAAGATCCCAGATATGCTCAATTAATGGCGATGGCGAATTCAAGAAAAACTGTTCCAAGTCCAGGAGCACCAAGTGGTGGCGGTCACAGTCCTGGTGTTGGCCCACATCCTGGATCTGGCGTCCCTAGTCCAAGTATGGGCCCTCCACCTCCCCCTCAACAAATGGGACCTGGATCTCATGGGATGAATCCAACTCAGATGCAACAACCACAGCAGCAATCTCAGCTATCGCCCTCCCCCCATTCATCAATTGGAAATGCACCACCCCCACCTCAAAATCAAATGCAACCAAACCAAAATTATCAAATGCCTAATCAGCATATGGCACCTCCTCCTTCACCTTCGAATTCAAATATGAATTACATGCCACAATCTCAAAACAATATGATGAACTCCTCTCATATGTCTCCTCAATCTCACGCAAGTGGTCAACAGCAGCAAAATCAAAACTATCCCCTATCCTCAAATTACCATCAAGGACCACATTCTACCCCCGGGAATCCAGGTCACATGTCTCAAAATCCCAACAATATTCCCCAGAATATGGAAACGAATGAACAGCAGCCTCCTCATCATCCTCATTCAGGATATGGTCAGAATCCTATAAATGGTAGCCAAGGATCTCCTCATCCAGATGGTAATTCAAATATATCCCCTGTGTGCAATCAAATGCCTAATCAAGGTCCTGGAGGCAATCAAAAACCTTCATTGTTAACATCTGCCCAAATTGCTCAACTTCGAGCTCAGATAATGGCTTATAGATTGCTATCACGAAATCAACCCGTTCCAGAGAGTGTTATTATGGCTATTCAATGTAAAAGACCTATTCAAAATCAGCCAGTATATTCTCAGAGGCCACCTGGACCCCCATCTCCCGGACAACCAATGCGTGGACCGGGTCCACAATCACAGGCACCTCCTCCTCAAAATATGAATAGTAGTATGATGCAACCAATGCCTCAGTCACAACCAATCCATCCCCACATGCCACCACAACCTACAATGCCACCTCCCCAACCACAACCAACTACTCCTTCACAGGTTCCACCACCACACCAACCTATGGGAAATACTCCTCAACCTACTCCCCCTTCAAACCTTCAAGGACCTCAAAATCGGCCTCAAGGTCCTACAAACAATCAAAACGTACCTATTCCTGCTATGATGCATATGCAACAACAAAAGCAAAATAGAATCACTCCAGTTGCAAAACCACAAGGCATTGATCCTATAGAAATATTGAAGGAGAGGGAAAACAGATTGGCCGCTCGAATTGCCCTCCGTATTCAAGAATTGTCTTCTTTACCTGGTGATCTATCTGAAGACATCCGCACAAAAGCGATGAGTGAACTTATTGGTCTTCGTCTTTTGAATTTTCAGCGTCAACTGCGTGCTGAAGTCGTCAGCTGCATGAGACGAGAAACAACATTAGAGACTGCTTTATACCCCAAACTGTACAAACGCACCAAGCGCCAGGGACTGCGAGAAGCGAGAATTACAGAAAAACTTGAAAAGCAACAAAAGCTGGAACAAGAACGTAAGCGTCGCCAGAAACATCAAGAGTATTTGAATGCTGTTTTGCAGCACGCGAAAGACTTCAAAGAATATCATCGTAACACCATGGGAAAAATCGGAAAAGTGAACAAAGCAATCATTACTTACCACGCGAACACTGAGCGAGAACAGAAAAAAGAACAGGAAAGAATTGACAAGGAACGTATGAAACGTTTAATGGCTGAAGATGAAGAAGGATATCGAAAATTGATTGATCAGAAGAAAGATAAACGGCTCGCATTCTTACTGTCACAAACTGATGAATACATTCATAACTTAACGGACATGGTTAAACAGCACAAACTGGAACAAAAAAGAAAACTTAAAGAAAAAAGAAAGGCCAAGAAGAAAAAAAAGAAGAAACAGCAACAGGGTGAAAACAGTGAAGGTAATGATTCCCTTCAAGAAGGTCTGATCGATGAATCTTCCCAGCAAAGCGATTTGAGAGTAAATGTAATTGAAACAGCTACCGGAAAGACGTTAACTGGAGTAAATGCACCACTTGCTAGTCAACTTGAAGCGTGGTTGGAAATGCATCCCGGATATGAGGTAGCACCACGTGAAGCAAGCGATGATGACGATGAATGTGATGAAGACACTACAGATTCCGAAGAGGAGGAAGAGCAACCTAAGCCACATAAACCAGCTCCAGAAAGAACTGGAGAAGAAGCTAAAGATGCTTTGAATTCCGCCACTGCCGAAGACGATGAATATATGAATATGGGTGGTTACCAAAATTATTACAACATAGCCCATGCAATAAGTGAAGAAGTAAAAGAACAAGCGTCAGTTATGGTGAATGGAAAGTTAAAAGAATATCAGGTCAAAGGATTAGAGTGGCTTGTTTCTCTATATAATAATAATTTGAATGGGATCTTAGCAGATGAAATGGGTTTGGGTAAAACCATTCAAACTATAGGACTCATAACTTACTTAATTGAAAAGAAAAGAGTACATGGACCGTACTTAATAATCGTTCCCTTATCCACTCTTTCTAATTGGATGCTTGAATTTGATCGCTGGGCACCATCTGTTATTAAGTATGCTTACAAAGGATCACCCAACATCAGGCGCCAAATTGCTTCAAGCTTAAAAGCTACTAAATTTAATGTCGTTTTGACAACTTATGAATATGTCATTAAAGACAAAGCTATACTAGCTAAAGTGCGATGGAAATATATGATCATTGATGAAGGACACAGGATGAAAAATCAGCATTGCAAATTAACACAAATTTTAAATACGCATTATACTGCTCCTCATCGACTGTTACTTACTGGTACTCCCCTACAGAACAAACTACCTGAACTGTGGGCCCTTTTGAACTTTTTACTGCCCAGCATATTTAAATGCTGTAATACTTTCGAGCAGTGGTTTAATGCACCCTTTGCTACAACAGGTGAAAAAGTAGAGCTAAATGAAGAAGAAACCATTTTAATAATTCGGCGTTTACATAAGGTATTGCGACCGTTTTTATTGAGGCGCTTGAAAAAAGAGGTAGAATCCCAACTACCAGAAAAAGTTGAATATGTTGTAAAGTGTGACATGTCCGCACTTCAACGTTTGCTTTATAGACACATGCAAACAAAAGGTGTGTTGCTGACTGATGGTTCAGAAAAAGATAAGAAGGGAAAAGGCGGTGCTCGAACATTGATGAATTCCATAATGCAACTGCGAAAAATTTGCAACCATCCTTTTATGTTCCAAAATATTGAAGAAGCGTATGCGGAACACTTGGGGCTTAATACTACTGTTGTTCAAGGTCCAAACTTGTACAGAGCTTCTGGGAAGTTTGAATTGCTTGATCGCATTTTGCCAAAACTTCAAAAAACTGGTCATCGTATCTTACTGTTTTGTCAAATGACAACATTGATGACTATCATGGAAGATTACTTAAATTATAGAGCATATCCTTATCTGAGACTGGATGGTACAACTAAAGCAGAGGACAGAGGCCATCTATTAGAATTATTCAACGGTCCCGACTCCCCATATTTTTTGTTTTTGCTAAGTACCCGTGCTGGTGGCTTAGGTCTGAATTTACAAGCTGCTGATACAGTCGTTATATTCGATTCCGATTGGAATCCCCATCAAGATCTTCAAGCTCAAGATCGAGCTCATCGTATTGGACAGCAGAACGAAGTTCGAGTTTTAAGATTGGTTTCTGTAAACTCGGTAGAAGAACGGATACTAGCTGCTGCAAAATATAAACTAAATTTAGATGAAAAAGTCATACAAGCTGGGATGTTCGATCAAAAATCTACCGGCACTGATCGTCATAATTTCTTGCAAGCAATTTTGGCGCAAGATGAAGTTGACGAGGAAGAAGAGAATGAAGTGCCTGATGATGAAACTATTAATCAAATGATTGCGAGAAACGAAGACGAATTCGAATTATTTCAAAAGATGGATTTGGATCGCAGGCGTGAAGAAGCTAGAAATCCGAAGCGCAAACCACGCCTGATGGAAGAGGATGAACTACCCCCGTGGCTAATTAAAGATGACGCGGAAGTGGAAAGGCTTACAAACGAAGAAGAGGAGGACAAGATATTCGGAAGAGGCTCGCGACAAAGGAAGGAAGTTGATTATTCAGATTCTCTAACTGATAAGCAGTGGCTTAAAGCTATTGAAGATGGTAATCTGGATGAATTGGAAACCACCAGAAGAAGGCGTTGTGCTCCTGGGACTTCGGGAAAGAAAAGAAAGAAGGAGAAAGAAATAGATCCTGATGCAGAACCTGAAAAGAAAAAAAGAAGGGGTAGACCTCCAATGGAAAAAATGCAACCAAATCCACCACGACTCACTGTTCAAATGAGAAAGCTTCTAGACATCGTTATCCATTATAAAGATAGTGATGATAGAGTATTGAGCAAGGCTTTTATGCAATTGCCTTCAAAACGAGAACTCCCGGATTATTATGATGTCATTAAGAAGCCCGTGGATCTTCAAAAAATAAAAAATCGCATTAAAGATCACAGATATCGTTCTTTAGATGATTTGGAGACCGATTTCATGCTGTTGTGCAAAAACGCACAAACGTATAATGTAGAAGGATCAATGATATACGAAGATTCACTCGTTTTACAGTCAGTGTTTACCAATGCCAGAGAGAGGCTAGAAAGGGACGGTGACTTATCCTTTACTGGTGGTGATTATGATGGAGATAGTGATGCGTATGATGAACCTGAAGAAAAAACACGAAAAAGAAAACCAAGGCAGACCAGACGTTTTGTTAGTGATGATGACAACTCTGAGAGTGATACTTAAAATGAATGATAAATAAAATTTGAACAGTTGAGAGATTTAATTGGATTGTGATTTATCAAGGAGTTGAAAATTTTACTAGTGGAAAATTTATTTCAAAGAAATTATATTTACTTTTGCGAAGTTGTTGTTATTGTATTGCTATTTACTCTATGCATTTATGTTTTATAGATTTGAGCCGCCAAAAATTTTTAGTTGTTATTGTTGATGTTATTAGATGATTATATTAGATTCCTCACATATGAAGTATAATTTCATTGAAGGGTTAAAAATGTTTTTAAGTGACTATTCTTGAGGAAGTTTGTGACACATTTTTTAGCTATAGCTTACTGCATCATGTTTTAGAAGTTGTGCATTTCTTTCCTATAGAAATTCTCTTATTCGATGCTAGTCATTTAATTTTTCTTAGAAATTAACTATCATAAGAACATATTTTTGTTATGCTTACTTTTTTCATTGCTTTTATAACGAAACTCCACTCTCATCCAAAATGTAAACGTTATTGTCGTAGTGTTAGTAAATGTTTTGTCTACCATTTAATTGGGAGCGCGAGTCGAGACGTGCGATAATAACACTAAATCGTGGGAGCCAGATTAATAAGACTTTTCTATTCTTAGAAATAGGCGTCCTTAAACATTTATTTTAAACAAATATTTTTAACTAAAGCACATAATTAGATTAGAGGTATGTAATTTTCTACACGTGACCCGCCATGTTTATGTTATCTTTTGTTTTAAAACAATGCAGTTGAAAGCTGGCAATTGGATACCTGCCAGTGACGTCATCGTAGTGAAATTGTAGCATTTGTCGATTCAGAAGTCAATGAGGTTCGACTCTTACGCGTGACGTCGCTTACGGGTATCCAATTAAATCTGGTTTAAATTATATGGGTAAATATAATTACTTCAATTGGGTACTTGCAACTGACATTTTAGGGACGTTACGTGTGCTTGTCTAGCCTGATTGGCTTCTGAATCGACAAATGCCACGATTTATCTACGATGACGTCACTTGCAGGTATCCAATTCTGAATAAAAGTTTTTTCATGCATTTTGATGACATTTTTATTTATTTGTTTTGGGTATTATAATTCATGAACTAGTAACTTCCGTACACAAACATGCGGCTGACGTGTTGGAAAAGATGCATGTGGCTTGCTGCCACAGACGCTCCCTCAATTTGGAATCGCGATCGAATTGCGGAACCCATTGAATGGAACAATGTTATTGCGAATTATATAATGGAATGATATATATATAAAATTCAAATTTGTTTTCTCACATGTTTTGAAGCAATAGGTGAATAGAAGATACATTCTTAAATTAAACATTAACATTTTCTCGTGTCATGGCTGTATAATTTTTTATTCTACAATTTGTTTACATGACAAGTATAATGGTTCCAACGTTTACCATTTTATAATTTTTTATTCTACAATTTATTTACATGACAAGTATAATGCTTCCAACGTTTACCATTTTTTAATTTTATAAAAAATTAATTATTCATTTTTGTGGGTATATTTCTTTATATCGACTGGATGCAGCAGAAAAAAAAGGAACTTCTAGCCTGAAATAAATTAGTTCTTAACTCAGAATCAAAAATTAACCTCACATAGCTAACCTGACGACATCGGAAACTCTAATTATTGATGTCTATTTTACTTGGGATATTTTTTTAATTTGTGAATTTTACAGGTTGATGACATTATTTGAAACTATTAGACATATTCAGACAATTTTTTTAAGAATAAAAAATTTATTATATTTCATTTGTTTTCTTTCTACTATTTGATAAAATTCTTTTGATTTTCTGAAGTTTTAGCCCGCAACACACCTGTGTTAAACTGTCCCATAGACGTTTATCGTTTTGTTATCGTCGTCCCATGATGTTTTGTAACGCTGCCTCTCGCTGTTGTTAACTGTATGAAATCTTTTAATAAAAATTTTAAGTCTATCTGAATTTTTCTGCCGCCTCCCGCTGATACCACTGCATTTTGTACCTATTTAAATTAAATAACTTTGTATATTTTACTGTACTCCTAATGAACTTTGATATACTGCTGTTGTAAAATCTAATTTTTTTCATGGCAATAAAACTAGAGCTCCGTTGTCTTGGAAACAGTAAAAAAACTATGATCACGTACATGATCAGCATTACTTCTAGAGTAGTAATTCTTATTTTGCTTGCGATTATCAAATCGCGCTATGATGTTGTAGTTCTAAGTTCTTACTTATTATTTTACATATGTGCATGTTATATGTAAAAAGAAATATTATCATTAACCCTTCCATAGAAGTATCATTACTTGTAGAACTTTCAAGTAGCATTTATATCTTATTTAGTTTTATTTATACTTTTGTTGAGTATTTTATATTTTTACATTGTTGTAATTATGTAGGAAATAATTATTTTTTACCTTTAGCAATCGAATGTTAGTAGAGCTTACCCGTTGCTGTTTTACATATAACATATCTACATTGTATAACATGTTTGTTTGTCTTTATTTTGTTGCACAAAATCAAAATGAATTTATTGAGAAATTATATTTCTGTTATTGTTTATCATTAGTTTTTTTTACATTACTAATAATTTGGTCTTCCTCTAAAAAGGGAAGACTGTTTCATGTGTCAAAATGTTTATAAAAGTCAAAATTTGGCAGTGTTTAACATTTATATGAAGTTTTTAAAAATGTAATAAAATTACATTTGCACTTCAATTACTTTGTTTGCTCATTTGGTACATATGACAACTGTACATAATACGCAAGTGGTGCATACAGGGTTACGAAATCAAAAATTTTATTTATTTATTAGCTAAATACCCGTTCTTCGTAAGAAGTGAAAAAAATGAGCATCTGTACTGAACGACACAACAAAATCGTGCACAAAACGCTAGAACATTAGTCCTAGCGTTTTGTGAAATATCGACGAAAATGATAAAGTTGAAATAATTCCAATGTTTTTTGTTTATTAATTGTTACCTTTCTTGGTTGACTTTACTTAATTAGAATTATCAAAACACCTATTTAGTGGTTCATACCATCAACACAAAGACTGTTTTCAGTATCATCTGTCATAATGCTGTTGTTCGAAACAACTCATGATATAAACCCACTGGCGGTTTAGCAAATGGGCGAAATTGGGAAAATGTTTTTCCACAATACACCACTTTTCTATCTAATAACGTGGGAAAACCGGTTTTGCTGAGTGGAGAAGACTGCAGGTTAAAATACGACTTTTTACGTGCAGAACCATTAGTGGGTTAAAATTTACCACACCCAAGCTATAGTTTGTCTAAAATAAGAACTCCCCCAGACATTCGTCTGAACCTGTGGCGGTGACTATGGTAACGAGGTATGACTATTTCAAGTAGGGGTGCAGGGTCACTGTTTTGGAGTGGTTTAGGCTCGGGTTGGATAGAGAAAGAGAATCTCTTCTTCAATCTATTGTATTAGTCCTAGAGTGAAACTACCCTCCCTAAAATGCGCCATTCTTGTTTCCATAGCACCAGACGGCCTCAGACTTTGTGGCGGGAAGAGTTCTTTTCTTAGACAAACTATACTGCTACTTTCTCCTGTATTTATATCTTTGAGGAGCCGTAAAAAATCTAGCATGAAAATATAAAGTATTGGCGCCGCTGTACTCTCCAAATTTAACCATAAAATACTTTGTACCTATTAAATTTGCACTAATTACCATGATGCCTGTACTGCATTCTTACCAAAATTGAGCATCATTGGTGTCATCAATAATAAGGGGACATTTTACCTTCTCTTAAGCGAAATAGTAGCACTTCTATATCAATTTTTGTTTTTTAGTACATATGTTATATTTTTACTTCAATTAGTAACTATTATCAAAATTAATTATAAATGATGCAAATAATAATATTGGCGTTTTATTATGTTTCTCCTCAACGAAAAAAATACCATTTCACCCTTAATTTTGCTTTTCAGTTCAAAACTTTTTTTTTGTTTTTAATTTCAATTAACCTTGATTTTAAATTATTTAGTTTTATAGTAACAAGTTTTAAAAGCATAAGTATATTTAATCAGAATGAGAATTCTATCTGTTAAAACGTATTTAAAGCACGCTATACATATGCCATAAATAATTTATTTTATTTTTTTAATTTTATTCTTTAATTTTGTACGACAGAAAATACTTTGATTAATACACAAGCAAATCAATACAAAGATTTATATTAATTTGCTCGAGTAAAGTATTCTTTTACTTTTACGTTTGGAGACGACCTTAAACTTCAAAAATTTGAACTAAAAAAATTCTAAAATGGGATGGATAATAAAGGATTCTAAATTGCATCTGTTTTCACAAAGGAAACACCCTAACGTTCCTGAAAGTGTTTTGTTCTGACTTCATGGAAAAGGGTGTAGGATTGTAATAATTGAGTGAGATTTTCATAAATGACAAAAATTATTTTCTCGAGAAAAGAGAAAATTATTGCTTCCAACGTGGTCTTTTAAGCGAGCATTAATGGAGTAAGAACTATTTTACTTCTTTTAAAAAATTTCTGAGGAATTGTTCTGCCCACTTCGCGTTTCAGAATTTTAAAAGAAACCACGAAAAAAAAAACATCCGAAGCGGGGATTATTAACGCCAGGATTCTTTCACGAATATGTGTTTTTGTTTGTTATGTGTGTATGTGAATATGTGTTTTTGTTATTAGTTCGCCTTCCTCCCGAGTTGATATAAAAATTAAGAGATAACTGATAAAACTAAAAAATAAAGGAACACTAAAAACGTTTTGAACTCGAATATATAGAGAGAAAAAAAACAATAACTCAATATTCCAGATCGCGATATCAAATGTTTAAATGGAATTAAGTATGGAATAGAATTAAGTAATAGCTTGGTTGGCAGGGTTTTGGACTGACGTTCTTGAGAACGGTAATTCGAATCCAGCAGGCTGAAGACTCCTTGAGTAGTAAATAGTGACTGGTGCACGTTAAATATGTCGAGTCACAATGTCCTCCATGTATCCATACCAAACTATACCTCTGGATTGGAGATTGATCATTCTCTGGTTCAGGACAAAATTGCGATCTGTGGATGAAGGAATGGGTCGACCCTAAAACGGGCGAGGCAGAAGTCGAGTTATTGGCCATAGATGGCGCCATTGGAAAACAAGAACAATTGAGCCCCTTGCTTTCATGGCCTACGACAACAAATAGAATTACCCAAGTCAAAAATACTACTTTTTGTGCATTCAAAATTTTACAACTTCAAAACTACTGGTCCTTTTCACCTGTGTTTGGTTTCTATAGATTCAACGCAAAATAAATAAATAAACAGTAAGCAATACTTCACTTTTTGAGAAAGACAGCACTTTTGTGTAGAGCTACGGTCTCCAGCTAACAAACACCATTTTAGCTTCTCAGCATATGTGCTTTAGTTTTTTAAGAGTTTACAGAATTTCTATGGGAGTAGTATTACGATTAAGATTAGCATACGAATGAGATTAGCATTACGGTTGACCTAAGCTAAATCTCTCTGAAATTTATACTTTTTATTCATAAAACCATTATAACTTTTAAACTGTTTCATTCAACTCAACTTTCATTTAGCCTCATTCGATTCAATGAAAAAAATAGCATATCAGAAACAATGCCTAGTTTGAATAAAACAATAGAACATCAATAAAGCACAAATGAATGTTCAAAAATGTACATGATTGTGCTTCATTCACGTTGTTTCGCTTTGTGCATGTATAGCAGATGAAGTATTCCCTATTCTCATTGAGATACCTAATTTGTCTAGCTAACAATATTTAAGTTTCTCCCAACCCACAATTCTCGAGCAACTTTTTACCACTTATTGAAAGAAGGGTACTTGCTGATGAATAGAGATTTTCTGTTTATCAGGGGTCTGTCTAGGCTTTTCTGAAAGGTGCCTATTTTGTGAAAATTTAGACATAATTTGTGAAAAATTAAAAAGTATATTAAAAAATCAACACAAAAACATAGTAAAAATATAGATTTATCGTTTCTTAAGGGATACAAAAATAAAATTTTAAGAAAAAGTATTTTGTGAAACTACCGTTTTTCCTAAAGTTGAATTTGTGAAACTACCGTTTTACCTAAAATTGAATTTGTGAAGGTACCGCTAAACGGTAGAAAATTCGGCCTGACAGACCCCTACATTTATTTATTTATTTGGGATGTCTGGATTAGGACAATTTTTTACTCTATCATAAACTTAAATTATGCTATTATAAATTTAAAGCTCACACCATTTTTGTACATTGATTGATCAGAATTTAAAAATAGTCGGTATTTACAAGAGTAAAAGTTTTTCAAATGAAAAACTTACTAACCAAAGATTTTCCGTTTTTTTTTCTCGAAAATATGTATTTTAAAACAACTTAAACAATTATCTCAAAATGGTTTGGAAAAATATTTAATTTACAAAATACGTAAGGAATTTTTGATATTTTTTTTAAATGAATCAAATTATTTGTTAATTTATTAGAAAGTATTAAAAACTTAATGCGTGCTATTAAATTTCACATTATTGTAATCATCAAAAATTTAATATCTAAAATTTTTAGTTTTTATAAACAATTAGCTCTTTTTTACATGTTCTTGAATGAACTAAGAACAATAAAAACTCGATTTAATGTTTTTCAAGTAAAAATAAATAAATAATTTGTGTTTTCAATTAGCGGTTATTTATGACCTAATTTGCCATTTTTCTAAACAATTTTAGGAATTTAGAACATTAAGAAAATTTCGAAAGGACGAATTTTTTACTAAATCTAAAACTTTTTTGTTAAATTATAGATATAAAAATATAATCCACAAGTAAATTTTCTTACTAAGATTGAAATCGAATACTTTTCAACACAACTTAGTGCCCTAGACTAGACTTGTATTGAGGAATGGATTTATTTGGTGAGTTTTTAAAAAGTTTTTTGGCCAGCCTTGCAACGCATGCGTAGGAAAAAAAAGTCAAATAATGAATAAGGATCGAGTTAACGCCGATGTAAATAGATAAAAATAAGCTTCCAAAAAAAGAAGTTAATAGATCAAACAAAATAGTTTGTTTTCTTTACTCACAATAAAAAAAAGAGTTTGAAAAAAGTTGCATCACCTTCATGAATCAAACGATCTGTTTGAACTTAGTATTCAGCTATATCCATACCTTTATGAGTTTCTTTTCATTTAGATGACTTTAAAAAAATAATGACTATTCGAAGTTTATTATGGTTGTGAGTTGTTGCTTTTAAATACTTATTTTGTCGATTTTATCTTTTAAAGCTTGTTAAAAACAACAAAGTTAATTCGGCACACTTACAATTAAAAATGACTAATGAAGCATTAAATAAAATTTTCCCGAAAAGCTATTTTTGTTTTCTACTATTTTTATATTAGGAGTACAGAAAACTGAGCATGCTATTTAAGAAATTGCAATTAAGAAATTTTTTTATTGTTTTTTAAGAAACTTATGGATTGAAATGAGTTAAAATATTCTTTGTGATTCTATTATTACTCTTAAACTCTATTATTAGTGGAAACATAATTTATTAAGAATTATAACTTCGACATGTACTAAAATAGGGTTATGGATTAAACACAAATATGGCTTAACTAACTTACAAGTATTACGTTATTTAATATTTTATGGATGATATGATCACACATATCAAGTGTTACTTTATAAAATTTTTTCTTCAAGTTATTCATAAAATAGGTTTTTTTGTGTGCATAAAACAGGTTTTTTGTGTGCATAAAACAGGTTTTTTGTGTGCATAAAACAGGTTATTTGTGTGCATAAAACAGGTTTTTTTTGTATAAAACAGGTTTTACATTAGGAAAGATTTACATTTTATTTAATTATTTACTTATTTGTGCCTAGCACACATAGATATATTTTTATACAACAATAGGATTTATTTTGTATTGAAAACTTACATAATTTAAGCACTTGATCCTGTTAGTTTTACGAGAATTTTCAAATGAAATAAGAAGTTTCAAGAAGCTACAAAACGCGTGTAGTCCGTGAGAAAAAAAAAACTAATCAACCAATGCTGCCGAAGGCAGCAGGATCATTGTTGACCCAATTACAGCTAAGGCCATGAAGGAAGATTTGTTCCTATTTAGGATATCGAGACTAGATTATTGGTATTATTCTGTTATTTATTTATAACTATTATTATGTGAATAAATCTACCGCAGTTACATGCAACTAATGACATGGTGTGTCAAATCACATGATTGTGCATGGCATATTAACGCTACAGTTTAAGAGTCTTGGTTTATTATCACGCTAAATCAATTTTCGGATCAGATTTTATTGAATACCTGCAAGCGACGTCACTCGTGTATGCCGAACCTGATTGACGGACCCACGTGACGTCGCTTGCGTGTATCCAATTGCTTATTAAATAAATTAACTATATCGTTATAAAAAATTTTAATTTCAAAAAGCTAAAAATCTCACATTTTTAAGGTTACCTTTAAGATCCATATTTTGTTCCTGCGATAGTCTTAGAAACATTTGTTTGGAAGTTTTTGTTTTCATCAATAAAGAGAAGCACACGTTTATTCTATTTATTTCAGTTCTAATTAGCGAACAGAATGTCCGTCCTTGCATGAAGGTAAACATCAAATCAATCGCCCCTCTTCATACAAAATAAATTAAACAATGATGTTCTTTGCAAGAATTGTTCTAACCGTATTGTTTCTGTACCACGAAACGAAGACAAGGTCAGGGAAAACAAGAGTTTTGTTGAAGAATGATTTCTCCTCTTCTACCTCAACTTTCACCGAGGAAGATCATCGCTGAGAAAGGTGGTTTAATCACTTTTACATGATTAATAAAGAACGAGCTTAGAAATTTATCGTCTGCCGCTTCAGCAATTTTCTTCTTCATGAAATCGAAGGTAGGAATATATTTTTGGTGGGTAAGTTGGATTTTAATGTATATCTTATTAAATTTTTTGTGCACTTATAGAATTTTTTTTTCGAAGATTGTAAAATATTTTTTATCCTCAATTGTTTTAAGAGTTTGCAGAATATTCTAAAATATTATTCAGTTACGAATGAAAATAAATCAAGTAGCCTTCCATGTTTTGTATATAACTTAGAAAATATTGTTGTAAAATTGTTAAGTCTAAATTGAATCCACTTCTCCATTATTCAAAACGTTTTGAAAAACATATAGCATATTAAAATAAATGCATACATTTTGCACAAGTTACTGAATATTGCTCGGGACGAATTTTCTAGTTTTTAATTATTAAATAAACTAAAATAACGGGTTTTTTTTTTTTTTTTTTTTTTTTTTTAAGTAAAGATTTTTTTCTTCTTTTTTTTTTAGTAACGATTTATTTTTATTGTTATATTTCGTAAGTTGTGTAAAAATCTAAATGAAAATCTTAACAAATTTCTTGAAAAAACATTAGGTGATATTAAAATTAGGCGAACTATGGATTTAAGATTTTTAAAAAATTTTATTAGCTAACAAATGTTAAATAAAATAACCATGATTTTATTAGGCGAACTTTCTTCTATATTTTGCCGTGATGGCTCAGGAGATAGAGCGTTGTCCTAACGATGAGGTGAACTGGGTTCGAATCCCAGCGAAGGCTGATGGATACGAATTCCGCATCCGGCTCGCTTCTACCACAGTCCTGGCATTAAATATCCTCAGTGGTAGACTGATCCTGGGTTAGAGTCCCCTTGCCATCAGACTAGCCGTAGGAGATTTTCGTGGTTTTCTTTTCCGTGTATCGCAAATGCGTTTTAGTTCCATCAAAATGCCCTCCACGAAAGCAAATTTCTCCCAATACTTGATGCAGGAGTCCTTTTGTCTTCTGGATTGGGTTCAAAATTACTAGGTTACGGAGATGAACAGTAGTAGTCGTAAACCCAAAATTGGTTCAGCCGTTCAATGATGGTTACACATATTTTTATTTGAAACGTGGTGGCTAAGAGGATAAAGGACTCACCTCTCAATGATGTGATACGGGTTCGAATCCCAGTGATGGCTGGTCGATATGAATTCCGTAACAGGCTAGCACCAACCACAGTGATAACGTAAAATATCCCCAGTGGTAGACTGATCATTGATTAGCGTACCCTTGCTGTCAGGCTAACGGTGAGAGGCTTTCGTGGTTTTCCTCTCCATGTACCGAAAATGTTCCGGAAAAAATTTCTGTTGCAGATCTTTCTGACCAATATATGGTATCACTTTTTTGAAATAACTGTTCAGCACTATATTTATTAAACTGTTATTTTTAATAATGTAACACGAAATAGTTTGGATTACGTGCTATTTTACAGCTTCAGTTTATAAGTTGTGTAAGCATCTAAATGCTAGTTTAAGCAATGCAAATTTCCTTTAACGAGCGTTACTGTAGAATTTGGAAAGAATAGAGAAAAATTGGAAGAATGGAGAAGATAAAAAAAAGTTTTAATTTTGATAAACACAGTTAAAGAACACTATCTCGATATAATTTGACAATTTATATATAATTTCTTTTATATTTTGATTAAAACTGAAAAAGCTTTTTAAATTTGCATATAAGTTATTGTAAACATTTCTCGTCATTAAATACTAATAATTGAATGACAAAGGTGGTTACTGATTAATCATCAGGAAAAACACAACATGTGAAAGGATGACTTTCGGCGTTGAATTCAGTCTGTCGATAAAACTATTTTCTTAACATATCTCACAGAATAATTCTATTTCATAAATTTTAATATCAAATCTTTCTGAAATATGAGTTTCAAAGTTGTATTTTTGGAATAACTGAACTTATAAGATACTGTTATTCAGAAAATTTATGAAATATTATCTTACACTATAAATATGTGTAATTTTAAAGACGAATCATAAGCAAGACTTTTTATTTTATTTTAAAACCGGAGTTGAACAGTTTACCCAATTTTGAGTTCATGACTATTAATGCTCAACTCCGTAGCCCTATGATTTTAAACCCAACTCAGGAGACAAGGAAACTCATGGAATAAGCATTGAGGTAAACTAGCATTTGTGGAGAACTTTTTGATGGTATTAACCCGCATTTGCGTTACATGGGGAAGGAAGCCCAAAACCTTCTACGGTTAACCCGACGGCAAGGGGTCTTTGACCCATGGAAGGAGATTCTACCACGGAGGATATTTCACGTCAGCACTGAGGTCAGCTGAGTTTAGGAAAAAAGCACTAAGCTACGGATCATATTTTAACTTTTTTTTTCAAACTTTAACAACTTTAACAATGATATTTGTGACTGAAGCAATAATAAGGGTCACTTAAATGCCTTTTTGGTGAAAAAGATGAGGAAATTTAAAAATAAGCATACAATAAATAATATAGAAATAAATAATATGAAATTAATTGATCTGCTAATTTTAAATGCTTTTATTCTAATCAAACTGTATGTTTTTACACTTATTGTTCCCCTCTTCTACCTTGCCCCAAGCTGTCACAATTTCATGAACCCCTTCGCATCTCTTGAAGCGTGAAATCATTTGTGGATTGCCCTTACAGCCAGAGTTGCAAAAAACCCAGAAAAACCCAATCCCGGTGGGTTTTATTGGGCTTTTCTGGGTTTTATTGGACTTCTCTGGGTTTTTCATGTTTTATTGGGGTTTTTTTTTCAAAAGAGAGGGTAGGGGGAGCTTATTTTAAAAAAGAAGCTTATTTTAATATTAATAATTAAGTTTAATTTTATGAATTGACTTAACATATTACAGGTGATTAAAGTATAATTAATAATTAATACAAATAAATTGCTGCATAAGTCTGAAAAAAGTTTCTTCGGACATCACGATACAAAATGTTGTATGTACTCACATACATTACACATTTCAAATTTATTTTAACACGGGATTACTTTTTATTGATATTTCAATCTTACAAAATATTTGAGGAAATAATTTTTTTTGCGTAGAAAGCGAATCAAAGGCACTGACTAATCAATGGCCATACAATCAAATCCAGTCTCCAAACACAGTTTTTCCACCATGGGTTCATTTTTTTAGGCTAGACTACATATATATTTCAATAGAATGGCTCTTTAATATAACAGAAGATAAAAAGAAATCAATTTCAGAAAAACCAAGTAAAACTCAATGTAGGATGGGTTTTGCTGGGTTTTTCAGAGTGGGTTTTACCCAGTAAAACCCGGGTAGGTGGGTTTTTTGCAACCCTGCACAGCTTGAAGATGTACAATATATATTTATTAATAACATGAACTAGTATGTTAACATCTCAGCTTTTGAAAGATTTTCATTTTGAAAAAAACAAAAATCTAGTAAAAGCTGACAGTGTGAATGTTATATTGTTGCGCGAATGTTATATTTGTTATTTTTGTATTAATGAATTTAACCCGAAAAAAAAGCAACCCAAACAATATATAGATGCGACCAAAGGTGATTATAGCTGCTATCCGAGCCTTGGTGGATCAGGGGATAGAGTGTTCGCCTTCCGATGAGGTAAACAGGGTTCGAATCCTGCAATGGCTGGTCGATACGAATTCCGCATCCGGCTCGCATTAACCATAGTGCTGACAGAAAATATCCTGTCACGGGTTGGAATCCCCTTGCTGAAAGGCTAACCGTGACCAGGGCTAAAGAGAGTAGAAGGGCTGGTTCACTCCTTTGAAGAAACTCTCGCCGCGCCAATCCTCCGATTTTCTCTAGTGACGTCACTTTGGCGCAAAGTTCGCACTTTTACTTGAAGAACGGAGCGTTCGGCCTCTAACTAATATTGGAGCAATTTTTTTTTTTGGGACATATTCTAAGACATTTGTTACTTTCTATAATGACTTTCCTCAGTTTTTGCTGTGAATTTACAAAAATTTTAAGCTATTATCGAAATGCCAGTTTGCGCGATTGCAACTTGCAAAAATTCTGATAAAAAAACAAAAGGAAAAACGTGTTCCCTAAAGTAAATGAACAACTATGTAAAGAATGGATTCCGAAATGACACAGTTAATATAAAACAGCAATACGCTTTTTCTATCGTTAAGAACTTTTATAAAAATTCATTATCTAAATAGAAACCGCCTCGTTACTTCAAAAAGAAAGGCAGGTGAAAAAAAATCAAAAAATAGATTTAATTAAAATGTAAATAAAAAGCATAAATAAAATATATACCTAGTATATAAGCATAAACAAAATATATACCTAATAAGAAAGTTTTTTTAAACTATATTTATGAACGGAAATAAAGTGTTAATTTCGTAAATTTTGAAAGCTAATAACCAGAAAGAGTCTAACTTATTGTTACAAAGAGAAAGATGCAAAGTTATCATAATATCTTTGCTTGCGATCTCCGAGATCTGTGGACACAGTGACGTCATGAGGAGAGAAATCGTAGCTCTAAGAGCGGAGTGAACTAGCCCTTCTATTCTCTTCAGCCCTGTACCGTGATAGGTTTTCATAGTTTTCCTCTCCATGTAACATAAATGCGGGTTAGTTCCATCAAAAAGTCCTCCACGAAGTCAAATTTTTCCCAATACTTGTCTTCTGGGTTGGGTTCAAAATTACAAAACTACGGAGTTGAACATCAGTAGTCGTAAACCCAAAATTGGGTCGGCTGTTTCACGACGGTTATAAAATAAAAAGATAGCTGCTATCCATAGAAAATTTGGACACCATGGGCAAAAACCATGTGAACTATTTGTAATCTAATCATTTTACTATTAATCGATATTTGGAAGAAGTTTAAATAGTTGTAGTTAATCATTGTTTGATTTTGTTGCAAAACATCCATGAATTCATTTTCTTAGTCTTAACACAATGCAAAGAACGTCCCATTAAAAATATTAAAAAAAGTATTTGAAGTGCGTTTGTATGTTTTACAGTCTAATACAGTATGGCTACAGAAGCCTTTACTAAAGATGTACAAAAGCAAGAAAAAATCTAAAACTATTTTTTTTNGCAAATTTTA